ATCGCTAATTAAGCATCTGGCTTTATCCCCATGTACTGATGTCTGTGTCAACTTGAATTTCATTTTCAGCTGTGAACTTTTGCAATATAGTACTCAAAAAGTCCACAAAAGAATATCTTGTTGGAAATGAAGGGAATGATCATGTCAGACATAATTTGCTTTTTCTTTGCCGAAAGCTGTGTACCTTTCTATATACACCTTTCATTTCACTCAGTATTTCATTTCCAGTAATATCTATCCTGCCACTAATGTTATGACTTGCTAATTGCACCGACAATTGATTCATTCAAAAATAAAATAACATAGTTTCTTTCTTTTGGTTCTCTTTCAAACTGTATTTCAGGAATGCGTTCTATTGGTGATTATGAAAAAGAAATTGGTTTCATAAGTATATGGTTTATATCCATGTTCCATTATTTCCTGTGTAGGCTCCTAGTAATTGTTGCCTTTCACCCCAATAAATCACAACAGATTCATGATCAGACAAGAATAACACTGAGGCTACAATGAATTTTGAGGACACTTGACTCAAATGCCTTCCAGTTATGAGTTAATTCTCTTAAAGGTCTTATCCTGCCTTAAAGATCTGGGTGTGTTTTCTTAAACTGTGGTATAGTAGTAAGATATTGGGTTAGGACTGGTGAGACATTTTTGTTTTGTTACAGTAGATTACTGCTCAGTAATTTAATAAAGGAGAATGGATATTTCTCCATAGAAATGAATATTTTTCACTGTTTTTATATGTTCGTTTTACTTTTTGTCTACAGAATCCAAGATGGCATATATGGCGTCATGTTTCATTTTATCTCTGCAGTGACCATTCTGTGAAGTGCATTAAGCTGAGTGAAAGCAATAGGGCAAAACAATCTCTTTGATTGAGTGGGGATTTGAACTTAAACCTCCCCAGTCCCAGTGATCCAAGAAGACCACTACACACCTGGGAGCGACTCAGAACTCTCTACAAAGTCTTTTCTTTCTGTCTTACAGATGGAGGAAAAATAAAGGTTTAGATGTACATGTATATCTGTGTATTTATGGGAGCTAGGCAGCCACATTCACATACATTAAGTCAAGTTTGTTAAAATCCTTCTTTGCCATTTCCCATAGTTTACTAACCATCAGCATTGGATTCATGTCCTGTTAGTAAACATGTTATACAAATAAAATTAATGGTTTAGTTAGTAGAATGTGCAAATGAAGCCAAGAAAGAAAGAGAGAGCTTTGAGCTAAGGATGTTGGAACTGCTTGTCTTTGGGCATTACCACTTCCACCAGCACTCTCAAAAGTGAATCCCTGCTTTCCCTTTTGCTCCTCAGAAGTGAAACTCTGACAAGCATAGTCCTGGAACATGCTATTGCTTAGAAAAGAGGGAGATCTAGAATAATTGGGCAGGGACACACTCCATAGACTTTAGGCAGAATCGGCTTGCTTATATCAATTTAATGGTATTGGTTTGAATTAAATGGTTAAAAGATTATTAAAAATGTCTGTTATTTGTAGGAAGGTGAAATGGTTTCTGGTAACCTCCAGCGGCTAGCCTTGAGCAAAAAACAGTGGCACAACTTTGCAGTTATAAAAGTTATAAAAAGTACCTATTGCATACATTCCCATTCACTTTTTCTCTAGTTAAAGTTATTTTGAACTGCTGGTGGAAAAAATGTCAATGTCTTGGCAATATTTGAACAATGGATTCCATTTTCATCTTGGATTATTAATATTTCTCTTTTTAATCTGCAACGAATATCAGAAAGTTCTTTTAAGTTCTTTTCAGTGCTGATGGAGTGTATTTGTCATGCATTCTGACTTCATTTCTCCTTCCAATTCTCAACAAATTCAGCACTTGAGTCTGGAATGTCCTACATTTTTGCCATGTTAAGGTCAAATGTTAGTGACTATTTGCAAGAATTTGGACTTCCTGCTAATTCTAGCCAGGGAAAGTGGTTGAAAGGATCTAAAGATCTTTGTTACAGTTTTTATTCTGTTTTCTCAGTGATTAGGAGGAAAATTACAGTCAAAATGGACCAATTAAAGCAGAAATATACACTTTCTATACATGTTGAGACTCCATAATCAGTTGATAATTAAAACTAACCCAAATGTTCCACAGAGTGAATCAATTTTGGAAAGGAAGGAGGTGAATGAAGAGCAACTTGTTATGATATTAAAACCAAAGTGTGATTTTAAAGTCTATGTTTCTAAGGACTGGAACATATGCAAAATGACTTTTATAAGTCTTTGTGGAGAATACAAGAAATTATATGTAGACCAATAGTTTAACAACTGATATAATGTGTGTTATGCAAAAAAAAAAATTGTCATAGTCAAGAACAGTTCTTGCTGAAAGAGTCCACCATGGCTTTTACAGAGACAAGATTTGACTTACTATTTTTCTTGGCTATTCTGAGAGCATTACCAGAGGTTCCTGAGTAAAAAGAAGTCCCGGGAAAAGAAAACAGTTCTTCTTGGGTAGTACATAACATGAAATAAAATCTTTATTTGCACCAGATGCTCCATATGTTATGGGCAAAGTTAGCTTATTAGGCAAACCCATCATCCGGTCATGCCATATAGATCTTTGTTTTTCAAATAATGTTTAAAAGCGACTGAACCTTGAGGACAAATATCACCAAGGAGACCTGTGACTGGGAAAACAGCAGAGCATTATGGTCCCAATCTCTCAAACAAGAGAGGCAGGAACACCCAGCAGCTTAACACTCAGAAAAAGAAATGTGGGAAAGCTTTGCCCTAATGCATGAAGCAGTTAAAAGTGACAGTGGAAAGTTTGTGCTTTCAGATTTGCTAGATTCTGTTACTGACCATTAGGCCACTTGGGGGCTCCAGCCTCTCTTGTCTAATAGTTTCCTAGGCAGCATCTCTTCCCCTTATTCTCCAAGGTCATCACTAAGTCCATTACACAACCTAATTTCTGAAAATAGCTGATTCTTTATCATCTCATGCAATATTGATGCTAGGATAGCAATTACATATTCAAGGATGGGGGAGGGGCATTAAAAAGGTAGGGAAAATTCTGCAACACCATGAAAATATTTTGCATATGTTCCTTCTAGATATTTTGCAATTTTTTTCAGCAACCTGAAGGTTATATTTGGAGCATTTGTACCATTTCCCTATATTTTTTTCTCATTATTTGCATTTTCAGATGCATGAAGAAATGTAACTTGAGATTTTGTTTTTCTAGAAACTAAAACAATTCAGTGTGTTCCCCTGAAGACAGTAATTTTAGAACAGCATCCAATTCTCTCTACTCTGCAGTTTCTGTATTGTTTTGTTTCCTATTCTGCCTTGTCTTGCAGTAGGAATGGGAATAGTTATGTCAGTAGAAAACATAAGAAAAAAGTATTGAATTGATAGATTACATTTTGACAGCATGCCTATATCACAAAATTTAGTTTAACATTGCAACCATACAGAGTTTGGCCTTGAACTTTTTGTACTCTGCCTTTATTCTCCAGCGATGTAATTCAAGTACACAAAATAGCGCTCAGCTTATGGATACTGCATCTGCTTTTGTTGACAGAATAGAAGTCCAATATCACTTGAAAACTATTTACAATCAATTTGATTTTGATATTGTTTCCATGGCAGTGTCCATGTGCTACACTCGTTGTTTAGGTTGTTGGAAAAAGATACTGCTACTAATATCAAATTATCCTGGCAGGACTATGTCACCTACTTAATTTTGTGTATCAAGCCTCATTATTCAAGATGCTATTTTCCTTCCAGCTGAAGCATTCTAGTCACCTATGATAAGTATGATATCATTTTTGAATTTTGTATCCGGAAGGTATTGTCAGAGGAGGACTGCTTGCAGGTTGTAAGCTTTGGCTGAAGAGAGTTTAAGCTCCCTTTGTTCCTACCTTCCGCTTCATATGTTCCAAATCCATAGGGCACAATCCTACTACAGTCATATACAGTGGTGCTTAAAAGTTGGCAATTCTTTTTGGATTTTCAGTATATCTACAGAAAAATGACGTAAAACATGATTGTTTTTCAGTAGTCCTAAAATTAAATAGAAAGAACTCAAGTTACAAATGAATAAAAAACATATTTGTACATTGATTTATTGAGGAAAATGATCCAAAGCTACATATTTCACAAACTGTAGACAGATAGTAATGGGTTTTTTTTGAAGCATAGTTGTTTTCTCCTTACAGTTCTGCCATATGCACCATTGTTCAATGTTCTTGTGATGGTGGTCTCATGAAAACTGTTGCCAATGCCTTTAGTTCCTTAGATGTTGTCCTGAAGTTATTTGAGATCCCTTGGAATATTACACAGTTTGTAACTGATATTATCTTAATAGGTCAACCACTCCACTAAGGAGTGGTAATGATACCCTAAGGAGGATAGTAATGATGCTGAATTGCTTCCCTTTGTTCATGATCTGCCAGACATTAGATTTATGGAATCTAAAGTCCTTGAATATAATTTTCTAATTTTTCCAGTCTGGTGAGCATAACCAATAATTTTTTGGAGGTTTTCAGAAATCTCCTTCGGTGAAGCCATGAAACACTTGCACAAACCTACAGTACAGTAAATACACAGAATTCTGTTCCTTAAATAAGGCAAGACTTCCCATACTTGCATCTGATTATCATCCTTGATTGAAACACCTGATTCTAAATTTTTCTTCAAATGAACTGATCATTCTAGAAGTACACATACATTTGCCACAAATATGTAGTTTTTCATCATTTTCCTCAGTGATAGGCATTTCTGATAGGAGAATTGGGCAATGCGAAGATCATACATGGTCTTCCTTGTCATTCCACTTTTTATCTAAAGGAGAAACAATCCTTTATAAGATATTCTGAGAGACCAGTGCCAATGTAAATATAAATAAACTTACATTAGGTATGTAAATTACTTTGAAAAGCAAAATATTAAACCTTGTATATTATGCATAATGTTACTGTCAATACTAGGAAACATTCTAGAAAAAGTCTGGGCTGACTTTGTAATGTCTCTGTGGTTTTCAGAGTACCTAAAAAGCAGTCAAGATGACTTGGAACCTTTTCAAAAAACATCCCAAACCTGAACCCATAATAGCCGTTACTACAGGTGGTCCAATACCTCCTACCGCTACAGTGGCACCAGCAGTCTCCCAGGAAAATGCAACGCAGATCTCAGGCCCAGTGGAGGACACTTTTGAAAAATTTAAAGAAAAGTTAATGAATGAAATAAATAGAATACCTTGTAAGTAATATGATGTTATTTTGGATGTATCTGGTATCAATATAGTTCTGGGTCTAATTGTTCTCCCTTGCCTTTTCTAATATTTTGCATATCTGTATAATGCAAAAGTTAGATGCTTACTTACGCTCCTTCCCCTTTTATTATCAGTTGCAAGAAATATAATTATTTATTGGATTAAAGAGACCAAACTACTTAAGGAGCTTTCTTGAGAAAAGTAGAAGATGGCCTGAAATACTTTTTTTTTTTCATTTTAGTGAAAAGAAACAGAAAAAAAATGAGAAAGGACTTATTAGAAAGGTTATGTTAATCTAATGGTAATTTTAAGGTGAGGTAATGTAGAGTAAGTTGTTGCAAACATATTGACTTAATATTTAACAAGTCTCCTGAAGTGATAACTCTGTTTATAGAAAATCAAAGAGGGAAAGAAATGTTCTACATTGAGAAAAGGTTCTGCATTGGAAATAGATTATCCAAAGGAGCTGCCATTTGAGGGGTGACATTCAGAAATATTCTGAGTGTTCAGAATTACCTAATTTATATCCCTTCCCAACCTTAGTCCATGCAGCAGGGATGATATACATTTTAGCAGAGATTGATTCTGCACTTAAATAATGACCCCAATTTACTTGGCTATTGTATTGTGTCTTGGCTTCTTTAAATGTGTTTTCAATAGTTGCTTTTAATGTTTTGATCTAAGTTGTCTAGGTGATCCTGAATTGGAAAATATAAAAAAAATACCATTAAAAAAAATAAGTTGGGCACTGCAAAACATGAGGAGAAGCAATCTGCAAAGAGCCTGTCCCAGGTAGTAGAGGCAGCTTCATCCTCTGGAAGTCTCAGAGGAGTTGCTTCAGAATCTTCCTCTGCCATCTCTCCCCGCATTTGAAGTCACAGCCATGGGCACAAATGGCTTGGGTCTGTACAAAGACTGCAAACTTTTCTTTAAAAGGATGTGCACAGCCTTAGAAATGACATTTGCTGGCTGTGCATGTAATGTAAATCTCTAGCACTTTCTGCTACCCCTTTCCCCATATTCTGCATTAATTTCACAGTGCCGCCATGGGCCCTGATTGCCATTGCTGTCGTTGGTGGATTGTTGCTGCTGACCTGCTGCTTTTGCATCTGCAAGAAATGCTGTTGCAAGAAGAAGAAGAACAAGAAGGACAAAAAGGGGATGAAAAATGCTATGAACATGAAAGATATGAAAGGCCAGGTGAAAATATATCATTGGATGAAGACCAGTTGGGAAACTGCAGTTATTTAAGATATTGGGGGGGGGGGGCAGGAACTCGTATTTCTGGTTGGCTTATCTAGAGTGGCCATAAAGATTGCTCTGCCTTAGAAAATATACCAAACCAGAAATAAATTAGAACAGAAGGGATAGAAAAGTTTATCTATTGTAGTTTTAGTAATCAGTGATTACTCTTTAAAAAAAAATCAGAAGAGGTAGAAGATCAGGATATTATTTCAGGTTGAAGAATTCAGAAAATGAGAATGATAGGCACTGTTTCAGGTGACAAAATACATATTCTGACCTTTGCTCCCTCTTTTTTTCTGAGCATTTTTTTCATAAAACAGTTGCTTTTTTATGTATTTGATACCACAAAAGTCAGTTTATTTTATTGTCCTATAATCTTACTTTACTACAGCATCATAGTTTAATTTTAGTATGGGTTTACTACAATATTGCAATTTCATTTAATTTTACTTTATTATTTTATTTTAGCACAAAAATCTTATGTTGTTATTATTTTAGCAGTCAGTTTCTCCTATAAAGGCAAAAATAAGGATACATTTCCTTAGAAACCAGGGGCTTCTAATTCCATTTATAATAAATATTTTAAAATATTTATTGTCAGAAACCTACAGTTCTCCATTGTATATATCAAACATTTCTTTATGTATTATTTATTTATAAATTTATAAAATGTATTATCTGAATTCCAAAAATACAGTAAGTGGTATACAAGTCTAAATGTAACACAGAATTAATATAAAGTACACATATTTTTCAAACATTTTTACAACTAACCAATTTATAAATTTTGGAAACAATGGTGTTTTTTTAATCTACTTCTTTTGCATATATTTTATTTTTTTCTTAAATTAACCAAGGGTTTTTCTAGGAAATAACTTTGTTTTTTTTCTTTTGCCTCAGAATTTGTGAGAACATTACACTTCTTAGCATGTGAGAAAGCATTATAAAGAACTCAGTTCCTGCTATACAAAAATAACTTCTATGTAACCTAGGAATGTGATATTTAGTGTCTCCTACTAAAGGAAATATAGGATATAGATCAGGGGTGTCAAACTGCCGGACCGTGGGCCAGATGCGTCATGGTGAAACCATGCCCACCCCATTGCCGGCAATGGGAAAAAAGTCACTATACGTCTTGACACGTCACATGACGTTGCGAGTTTGACATCCCTGATATAGATTAAATACTAACAATAGTATTTGAAATAGATTCTTTTGTGCTTGTAGTATCAAGCACTGTGATCTTGAGGCTATTCACAATAATTTAGCTTTCAGCCTGTTTGTGTTTTGATTCCTCAATTATCCATGAGCCACTTAACATTTCAGGCAAAGTTGAGGTGGTTGTTGAGTTGGGAAAGTTGGCCAACTCTAGTCTGATATCCTAAGGAATCAAGTCATCAACAATGTAGGCAAAAAAAAAAGATGTACCAACACAAACTCTTCTAAAGTAGGTTTTCATTTGGCAGCAATCTTTAATAAGGAGAGTCAGAGTATCCATATCAAGAAAAGCATCAACATTCTGACTACTCAATAGTGACTCTGTGGAAAATGTGGTGCTGTCAAGAGGATATTTTTCAGAGAGTGACTGGGAATTCCCACAATTCAACACTTCTCAACAGAGCCATGTGGGGAAAGCTACTCTATAGACATCTGGGAGACATTGTTCTCATAAAGACAAGATAGTCTCAGCTTTCTTTCTGCTGAGATTGAGATGGTTATAACAATATAATTAGAGAGCCAGTTTGGTTAATGGTTAAGGCACCAGGCTAGAAACTGTCCCACCTTAGGCACAAAGCTAGCTGGGTGATCTTGGGCCGGTCACTTTCTCTCAGCCTTAGGTAATGACAAACCACTTCTGAAATTCTTGCCAAGAAAAGTGCAGGGATTTGTCCAGGCAGTCTCCAAGAGTCAACATTGACTCAAAGGGACCAAAGAAAAGGACAGCATAATTAGGCACATCATTAGCTATATTCAGGCATTCAGAATTTCAGAACTCTCCACACTTTTGTAGATAATTGCCTATTAAGCATGATTGGCTGGAAGAGAAAAACAGTTGTGCATGCAATCTGGGTCTTTGCATCCATGTGAATAAAGACCCTGCCTGGCTCATGATGAAGCCAGTGGCAGAAACAGTTGAAAATGCAAAGGTATTTTGTGGCATATTTTTTCTCAACATACAGTATAAGTAGGAGACTAATATTTGTATGACATTGGCAGCAGCAGAGCTTATCTTGGATGCTTACCTGAGAGTGCTTCAGATTTAAGAATGCCCGAATAGAGTTATTCAATATTTTATTTCATGTAAGCACAGTATTATGTGGATGGTATGTATTTTCTGGATAAATGCTTGGCTATATCTTCCAGATTTCTAACATAGCAAAGTAAAAATAAGAAAATAGAAACAGGCATGTTTCAGGCAAGTATCCTTTTTATCCCTTCCTATTGGAGGCTGCAGTGGTTTGAAGTTTAACTTATCTAACCAGTATGTTTTGGGGAGTATAGCCTATAGCAGTGGTGGCAAACCTATGGCACACGTGCCAGAGGCGGCACTCAGAACCCTGTCTGTCAGCACTTCTCTGAACTGCTGGTGGTGGGCTGCAGAGCCCCAGAGTGTGCCAGTCAAGGGGCTGGCAGGCTGTGGCTGCTGACGGACACTGTCAGTCCCCGTGCGCTTGCTGGCCTCTGTGTGCAGGGGCCAATGGTGTCAGGCAACAGCTGCTCCGGCCCTTGCCTTGAGATAATGGCACCCCCACCTTACCTCGCCTCACCCCGCAGGACGAGCCTTCCACCCCACCACCCTACCTGCCAGAGACCCCCTGGATCTTCCCCCGGCCCCCACAGGCGTCTCTCCCCATGAGCAACATCGAGGTGACCACGCCCACCCAGTCTGCCATGACCATCACAGCCATGCCCACCTGGCACCCGGCAATAAATAAGTGGGTTTTGATTGCAGTTTGGGCACTCGATCTCTAAAAGGTTCGCCATCACTGGCCTATAGAATCTGTCTAATATTTACATATAAAGGAAAGAGATGGAGGAGATTGTTATAAATGTATCCCCAACACCAAGATGAGTTTGATAGGCCTTTCTGTTAGTCTTATTTATAACCAACACTCCTTTCCCCATTAGAGCTATGATTCCATTTTAGTCTGTTGAGATAACACAGATGGAAAATGATCACTCACAAAAAGCACATGAGGATTTATGCAAGGATGGTCTAAGGAAGCAATTTGTCAAGGACCATCCATAAAACTCATAAAAAAATTCTTATGTAGTATCCCATCTCAGTAATTCCATTATTTTATTGTTCAGAATTATAATATCTGTTTTGTAAGCATAAATCAGACTAGTTCAACAGCAAATCACATTAGTAATTGATCTTGACAAACATCAGGCTATGAATGGTGATGGCTTCTTCTTGGAATACTTTAATAATGTGAAGAAACATCACTCAAGCTACATTAATCAGGCTGTAATCAGAGTTGTTGGACTGAAAGATGGGCAGCTTATAAATTTAATAAATAAATACATTTTGCATGACATACTCTAAGGATGCAAAACTCCAGTATTTTTCATCATTTAAATTGCCCTGTTGTATCTAGCTGTTGTAGCCAGTTTTGAGCTGGATTTTCTCTCTACAAAAGTGTTGAGACATGAATTAGTTCTCTTATCAAACCATGCAATAAAATACTAACTTCATTTTAATAAAGAGATATATAATTGCAGATGGACTGTAATTCCCATCCTGTCTCACCATTTAGTATTGACCATGTAATTTAAGATTGGGCTTAGGGTTGATGAAAGCAGGAAGCCATTTATTAGTCATTCCTGATTTAAGATCACAGACTTGAAAATATATTGGAGATCATCTAATTAAGCCTGTTGCTCAGTACACATCTGCAGTATAAAATATAGCTGCAACTTCCTTGGCAGAGTCTACCATTTGCAAGGCCATTTTCTTATGCTGAAAAATATTTCCTGTACTATTTCCAACTGCTATTTTTAGTCCTGCCCTTTACAGCAATAAAGAGCAAGTTGCTCCATTTTCTACATGACAGTTTTCAGATATTTGCAGATCCCTATAACCTGAATCCTTTTCTCTGGCCTAATCATATTGTGGATGTATGTTTTTACAGGCATACAAGAATAGGTATTCGTAAATTCCCTGAAGAATTGCAGAAGGCCCCAGAAGATGTATGAAAAGTTAGTGTTATGAATCACATCTCTAATTACTAATGAATTCATATCGCATAAAAGGCATAAGGATTAGTGATGTACTGGATTCTTTACATGTTGTGGACCCAGTTTTGACTTCTGGTATTTACATGCCCAAGACCCTGGCAAGCTGTCAAACAGAAGACAACACATGGCTGAATTGGATTTAACCCAGCTTCCTAAGAACAGAAACCATCTGGTTGTTTTGTTTACATTTTTTCCCTTTAAAAGCCAAAGGACTGAAGGCTTTTATTATGTCCATGACCTCTATCTCTATGAAATGAGCATGTTCCAAATTAAAACAGTCAACATTTATGCAATCTACAGTTTATGAAATAATACTCAGATTCTATTAAATTAGAATTTCCAGTTCTTCTTATCACTCTGTTATTCATATCTGAGCAAATATTGATTTCAACATCCAAGATTTCAGACAGAAAATTGTTGTGGTTATTAGTGTGGGATATCTAGATGCATCGGGGATTGAGATTTACAACCCTCAAGACATTATTTTTTAAGTAAACAGGAACTATGGTAAGGATGACTATTAAAAGGCAATTAAATTTCACAAGACATTTTCATCTAGGCCCTCCAGTCATAGTAAGAACAGTTCAAGATTCACAAATGGAAGTTGTGACAAACTGTAAGGAGAACAAACACTTTCCTTTGCTGTGACTATTTTGCCCAATTTTTATCAGGGAAGACTGCCAATAGCAAAAGATAGCAAGAGAGATTTTCTTCTCTCTAACATCTGCAAGTCTAGAATCTCACTTGGATCGATCATTGCAACAACTGTGTGTCTTTTCTTTGCAACTTTATTTTTCATTCTTGTTCTTCGTAAAGGGCCTTTCTAGTCACAGGATAGGTCATCCTTAAGAAACTAATTGGTTGTGTTTTCTCTGTCTCTTTCCCTGTCTTCCTTTATGTATTTCTGTGATTTTTTTTTTCAGAGAAACACAGGTCTACTAATACCTTCAGTTTTCTTTTATGGCGCTATTTACCATTAAACATGAAAGATGAAATTGGCTGATATAAAACACTATCTTTTGTTTCTCTGATTGGATTAAATGAAACTGAATGCAAAAAATAATGATGTGCCTTAAGCCAAAACAACATACCTTGATAAATAAACTTTTTGAAAATGATCTCCCCAAAACAGGGCACTTCAGTTTTGAAGCAAAAGCATAATGGAGACCTACTTATGTATTTATATCATTCTCCTTGTTGAGGGCCTTACACTTGCTTTTACAGGGATACAGTATTGCAATGGAAGTGAGATCTCTGTTTTCATCCAGTTTCTTTAGGAAATTAGAAAATATTAGAATATTAGATAGAACTTATTCGATCTGGGGTACCCATCCTTTTTATAGTGCGCCTTGAAAGGTGTGGAATCTGCAGTTTCTCAGGAGTACTGTGTGGTGCTGATAATTTGTAAAGTTTTTGTGTCTATAATGCCCTTCTCTTCCTTCTCTGTGTTCTCTTGGTCATCCTTCTGTGTTGTTCTGTCTCCATCTTTTCTGACTAACCTGGATGTCAACACACGGTAGGTCCAGTTCAAATGTCAACTCCCTTTGAGGCACAAAAGGGACAAGGGAAAAGAGTTTATGGGAATTAGTCAACAGTGGGCCCACATTCCATACTTAGACTTTGTATAAATTATAGAGTTAAACTTGATGTTATATTTTAACTGAGAAAGATTTTTTTAAAAAAAATCTTTAATTTCTAGCTAAAAAAAATATAATTAGCTAATCAGAATGCGGTCCAATCCAAATACAAGGTGCACTAACTGAAATAGATAAAATCTTTTATTTGGTTATCTGTATATCTCATCAAAGCTGAAACTCTGCCTGAGTTGAGTTCATGGAAGAAGCATCAAAAAGGCTTCTCAGTGACACTATGAAGGTCTAGGTATGACAAGTAAAATATTGAAAGAATTATCCAGCATTATTGGCCTGTACATGCTTGTGAAACATCCTGGAAACACTACCATATTGAGAATAGACATTAGTATTTATTTAACCAACCTTAATAACATGTAATTTAGAAGTATGAGAAAGAATAATGAATGTGTGCTTTGGATAACCTGCATGCATATGCATGTATAAGTGTTTGAATCTTTTTAAAAATTAAGAAAGAAATCATTGGGGTTATTTAAGATTTCCATTTATTTGGCAATCCCTTCAATGATTTTTTTATGGGCAGTGCGTATGTAAACTGCTTTGTCTGCCTTGGCTACTCCATTTCTCATAGATTTCTCATTAGACGTTGGTGTTATTTGCTAACATACAGTAGCTGTTACACAAGCCTGGCTTCTTCCGGGATGTGGATACATTGGATCATGTTGGCTGAGGAACCCAGGAAATTGTCCACTAAAATATTTAGTAGCTGCTAGACAGGAGAAAGCAGAATTACACTAATACCACTGTTGCAGCGCTTTCCCTGAAAAAATGTAGAATTCACAATTGCTGATTAGATAAGAATTTAGGACTCAATTATATGTAAGATATGTTTGCCTTTAAAAAAAACATTGAAGTATTCAAGTATTCACTAAATCTATCAACAAAGAAGAAATAGATTCTCTGTGCATTTGAGATGTGAATGAGAGGAATAAAAAAAGTTGCATGTTAGTTTTCTAAATTAAACTTATGAAGAAACTCAGTTCCCCCTCCACTTTTCATTTGGCCTGGAAATCCATGCTCTTATTGCTATGGTAAATCTGAGTTTCTATACTAACATAAGGTATTGTGTATGTGTGTGTGCCTTCATGCATAGTCACTCTTTATTGAATTCTTTTCTAGAACAAACAGGATGATGATGATGATGGAGATGGCGATGAGGAGGGAGAAGAGGAAGAGGAAAAGGAACCAGAGAATCTGGGCAAACTGCAGTTCTCCCTAGATTATGATTTCCAGGCTAACCAGGTAACGTATACACATTAATAAATGTACGGTAAATAAGAGAAATTTCATTCCAACCTCCTCCACTGGGAGTGATAATGAGGACTGAAATTTTAAAATTCTTAAGAAAATAGACTTGGAATTGCTGCCAGGCCTTGGGTAGCTCTAGACCAGCTTGAAAATAGCACTAATAATGCAGGAATCAGACTAATGGCGAGAAGGAGTATGGAGACACAGAGAAGAGTAGTGCACAGAGATGTTGATTTGAAGCATTAATTGCTTTCTCTGAGTACTGGAAGCTGAGTATTGGAAGTCTGTTTTTAGAGTTCTTTATTAGGTAAATTCCTGGGGTGTGCTGACAACTTTTATGCAGTTACCTGTGACAAATATTCATCATATATAAAAGGTACTAAGGTTCTACATTTTGTTATCTTAGCAGGTAAACAATAGCTCAGTGCTGAATATAAGCATCAGATTGCCACGATTTTTAATTTATTGTTTTTATTCTATTTCAAATTCCATTTCTTTCTTTTTAAGGACTGAGTATATATACTTTTGATAGTGCTGTGACCATAATATCATGAAAGAGATACCTGATGACATTTCTCTATCTAGAAGGCAAATTCCTAGGAATTCTTGATAGAGCAGGTGAATGGCTTACCGGAATATTTCTAAACTGCAATTTGCACAAATCATGAGATATTAGAATAAATTTTCCATTTGTCCTAATCATTAATCATATGCATTTCTTTAAATGAAGTTCAATTTAGCATTAACGGCTCCATCCCCTTCCCCCAAATAACAGAAAAGAGGATTAGGACCCAGATAGTAATATAAGTGAGATGTACGTTAAAGATAGGGGGACTAAATCAGATAGTTTCCCACTTTGATTGGAACATGCTATTTCAAACCTTTTTTTTAATTTCTTTCCCAACAGCTCACAGTTGGAATCCTCCAAGCAGCTGAACTTCCGGCATTGGACATAGGAGGTACATCTGATCCTTATGTCAAAGTCTTCATACTTCCAGACAAAAAGAAGAAGTTTGAGACCAAAGTACAAAAGAAGACCCTCAATCCAACATATAATGAGACTTTTGTCTTTAAGGTAAGATTTCTAACCTGGATATTCTTTGCTTGGTTAGTATGTTGGCCTAGTTATTTTGCCTTCAAAATAATTTGTATACATCAATACCCAGCCTCACGCCAAATGGAACGCAAAAGGGGAAGACTGGTCCTGAAATGCTAAAGCTTAAGGTAGCAAAACTAATACTTGAAATCATATTAAACAATAGAAGAGAGTATTTCTATAATAGCCTAAAATAAATGAGACAGAGTACTGAAACTTAATGGAAAAAAAGAGTAAGAAGGTTGATTGAAAATTTAATAGCAAGAATTAAAATGGCTAGCAAGGCTCAACACTGCCAGGATACTGAAAAAGCTGACTAAACAATTCGTGACTCTAGCAATTATGTCTTAGGGAATAGATGTTAATAGCACGGTAATTAAATTCTCTAAAAAGTTTAGTTTTATGCATTATGCTGTCAATTATAAGCTGTATGCCAATATACGTTAGTAGCACTGTAATTAAATTCTCTAAAAAGTTTTGTTTTATGCATTATTGTATGCCAATGCATGTGATAGTGCTGTGATTAGTTATCTGAAAATTTTAGTTTTATGCATTTTACACAGTTCATTTTGAAGAAGAAATCTCATTTGCTTCACTCAAGAAAAAATGCTACAAAGCAGTTTAGGTAGCCTCTAAATTCTGTTTTGGAATATGGACATAATATAAAGACGGACATAATACTTGTCAAGGCCAATACTGAATCTCTTCAGCCTTTACCTTTGAAAAATACTACTCTTCTCTAGTTAGTGATGGGAGTGAGACATGCTAGCTAGGAACTTCTCCAAGACATCATGGCTAGAAGACCTGCCTGCTTGCCTGCCTCCCTCCTAGTGCCTAACAGCTTCACTTTGCCTTAGAAGCAAGGATGCCTCTATTACTTCATCAAACAGTTTTGAATTGTATCTGAACCTTCATTGAAATAAACACTCCTTTGACATTTCATACACTCCTCTAAACATGTGAGACTATAAGCAATATTATGTTAGTATGACTTTCAGCTAAATAGAAAGTGGGCAGATCCATTTTTTCCACTATTTAATATGAATGGTCTTTAGACCATTCGTTAACAGCTACAAGCCTTTTTTATTACTCGAGAATAAACGGAATTTTAAAAATCCAGATACTAAGTAGTTTATGCATTTTTCTTCTTGTATTGCAAATTTTTAGTTCATTTTATTAAGCTGATTCTCATATGTACTCAATTTACTAGAGGAGTCATTTTATTTTTAATTAGTAATCAGATTTTAATCATAATGCTTTCCTTCTTTAAAATTCAAAATATTTTGAAGACAATATATTATTTAAAACAGCAAATTAAAATCAATAGCAAAATAAGAAATAATTTGAGGCAAAATAAGCATCAAGTCAAGCCAAAGGAGAACAACCATTTTTTCTACACAAAGATCTGGTCATTTTTGTAAGGCTTTTAGATGCAGGGACATGGCTTAAAGTGCCCCTTTAAAGAGTAGTTTAAAGAAAACACTTTACCAGTTTATCTTGAAAGGTAATGTGATACTCTTTAAATCTTAAAAATTGATCATTTCTTGAATGGTACTCTAAAGGGGAGCTTCCACCCTAAAACTAATGAATAAGTACTTTAGTCTACCATTATTTCATAATAGTGAATATACTTGAAATTAAAGCAAGTGAACCAAAGCCACTTGCTTCTACTTTTTGAAAAATTGTTCTTTTCTTGGTACAAACGTGGCTGACCATTTTTAATCCTAGAATCAGAATGTGAATGTCAATTTAGAAACACTGGATCTTTTTGTAATCTTCCAGCCATTTGTACTTTGTTTTCATTGTTTTCTTCCTCTTTTGCAAAGGCATTAATCAAATTTCATGAAATTAGGCAGCCTATATCACTAGATTAGATGAAGAAAAAGAAGTAGTCTCTTCTCTATTTATTTGTTGTCATCTAGTGGAGATCCAGATTTTTTGCTCCCAAGGTAGGTTATGGCTAGACAAGATCTTTCTAAAAGGTTTATCACTGTTTCCTTTCAAATGCTAGAAATGCTATATTACTGAAAAAGTTCCTTAACTTTGTTGTAACAGATTCCATACCAAGAGCTTGGTGGGAAGACTTTGGTGATGGCCATCTATGACTTTGACCGATTTTCTAAGCATGATATCATTGGGGAAGTCAAGGTACCCATGAATACTGTGGACTTAGGACAACCCATTGAAGAATGGAGGGATCTAGAGAGTGCAGAAAAAGAGGAAGTAAGTGTTTTCTCCACTTGCTGTTTGCACTTCAGTTGTGAAATGTGGATTTAACATTCTCCACAAAGAACCTAAAGGTGGTAAAGTTTGTGAAAGTCTTGTGGTCTTGGGAGAAGAGTTACAGATAACCAAACTTAGAAGCAAAAGTCCCTGCTAGCCAGATGTCCCCATGCTTGGGTAGTTAAACCATGCATGATCTCTAACCAGTCTGCATCTTATCTCTCCGCTATTAGGCTGTTAGGGAAGTGATGGGCCCATTCAGAAAACCCAGTTCTGGCTTATTGCTTTATTTGTAGAAGAAGGCTTTGGTTTTAAAATATATTACATGTATAGCTATCTACTTTGTAAGGGAGGTTGTACTCCAAAACTAACAACTTTATATAATATGTTTTGTGCTACAGCTCCCATTAGCCCCAGTCAATATGATGATAAGGTAATCTAAAACGGCATCTGTTTGTAGAGCACTTCTGGGAAACTCAGTAATCTGGTTGTATCCTATGTACCTGGCACAGGGAGGTTCACTTTTCCAGCCAAAGGAAGAGTAACAGAATCAACAGTAGACTGCTGGTCTCCCACATTTACCGTAAAAACTTCCCAAAAATAACACATTACAAATAAGATAGTTATATTTCTTTCTATTGCAGGCACAGATAATTTATAAGACACAGTAGGAGGTTTGAGTTCATTGTTTTCCCAATTTCCCTCAACAGCCAGAGAAACTGGGAGACATCTGTATCTCATTACGATATGTACCCACTGCTGGGAAATTGACTGTCTGCATACTGGAGGCCAAGAATTTGAAAAAGATGGATGTTGGAGGACTTTCTGGTGAGTGAAAATCAACAAATACCCACTAGATGATACCTCTGAGCTATTCAGATACCTGTCAGTACAAATAGTTCTCTTTCAGGCATTCTGTAGTCAAAAAGACCATTAGAGAGTAGCAGAGATACAGAAACCTCACATGCAATTTGCCATCTAGTGTTTGCCAGTGTATTTTTGTAGCCTGGTTAATATGCTTACTTTCTTTTGCAAAATCTTTGAGTACAAAGCTTCTTTAATTTTTTGACATGAAAACAGTCATCAGCATATATGCTTGCCAGAGAATTTTCATGAATAGCAGCTAGATTCCAGGTACAGAATGAACGTGGGTAAAAGGCTGAATGTGAAGGTAGCAACACCACTGGAGCTTCTTGCCCATCTGTATTTTAAATTACACCTCCAGTTTCTTATTGTAATTTTCTTAACAAGAGAAAGAATCCAAGCACATTCAGAACAGGCAAGACAGAAGGATATACTATCTCTGCCAATCAGTAAACTTCATTTCTCCAAAACTCTTACAATAATAAAATTAACTAATATGTTAATGAAATATCTGGAAGCCAAAAACCAAGTTTGGACAACACCAACAGTGTAATATGCCAACCCTTAGCTACATATATTATCTACTTTTAAAATCATTCTGGCCAGATGTTTTAAAAGCTGAGAGAGCACAGAACAAATATGATTCTCCCAAAATGTACATTTGATAGCCTGCAAATGCAACAAAGTATGCCATAAAGATCGGCCTCAGATAGCAAGACATTTTAAGAAGAATCTTCCTGCAGATCTTAACCATCAAGTTTCATAGCAAGGAGGTAGTCTTTTAAAAAGTCAAACTTTAAGTCATTGAAGACTTTAAAATAAAACCAAATATATTAAACTATGCTTGGTAAGCAACTGGCAATCAGTATAGAGGTTTCTATATAGGCATCATAAGATACCATCTAAAATACTTAAAATAAAAAGCATAAAATCCCAATCAAAAGTGCAGCATTTTGCACCTGCTGCAACTTCTGAATATTTTTTTTAATGGAAGCATTTTATTCATAGATTCATGGGTCTTCTGGTCCAATGCCTCCACTGGAGCAAGAATCTTTATACCATGTCAAACAAATAGTTGTTCAAAGTTTGCTTGTGAACATTCAATGCTGGATTGACACAATGCCAGGGACAAGTTATTCCATTCCTCTTAATAGCTATTATGGTTCTTGTTCTACTCTTGAACATTATCCACACCCTCTTCCTTGTTGACAGTCCTTCAAGTATTGGAAAACTGCTTCTTGTTAAAGACTGTCAGATATGAGCTCTTGTCCTAGTCCTCATTCCTATTTCAGGAATGAAAGATGGAGTTGTAAGATCACTTTCTCCTTTTTGAACATGCAAAGATACTATTTTACTACCAAGGCAGAACTCTCATAACCTAGTAGAAGTAAGTCTCACCAAAATTGTAATTTAAAATTATAGAATATGCAGGAAAAGCTGATTTCAGATGTTTGGCACATAAGTACACAAAGTCTGCTTCTGAATGTCAGAACAAACCTGAGGTTTTTTTTCCCTGAATCTATTGAATGGTGATTAAAAAAAACTCTGTCCCTACAATGGACAGTCCTTGAATACCCTGTTCTCTATAGTCTTTTTATGAACCACATCTTTTACCACTGAAATCTATTTTGGACCTGTAAGGAAAATGGACTGTTTTTCTATATTTATTTTTTAACAACAACATAAGGAAGAGTGCTGCTTTATACTGAATCCTAACAACTGTTATTTGACATTTTTTCTTATCACAAACTTGAATAAATAAATAAAATAAAAACATATTTAAGCTAACTTTGTGTGTGGTCTGGTGACTCACTATCTGAATTCTTAGAGAATCTTGTACTCGTGGGTTTGGAAGGTTTAAGGAGTAATGGAACCTTTTGTCTTCTATGACTTAAAAAATGATGTTAATAAAGTTTACATTATTTCTTTTCTGCTTTCCAGTATTCATGCAAAGAAAGATAAAAGGAAAATATTTTTAAGCAGAAAGATTGTTTAAAAAAAAAGTAAAGCAAAATTCTAACAAAGTAGGAAAGAAATAAAACACTATTCTGGATTAAAGCAAAGAAAAGACTTAAAAAATAAGGAAATGAGCAAAAATCCACTCTATTGTTTTCTTGCAGACATTTCATTACCCAAACAAAGTAACATCTGTAAATAGGCTAAATAAATAAATAGGGCTTCCCTGGAGATCTAGAGAACAAGTTGTATAGTGTAAATGTACTGAAGCTTGATGGAGAAATATATCATCATCATTACATCAGAATCTTGCAGAAAACATAAGAACAAAAGCAGCACCCTCCTGGATCAAAACTCTGGTCCATCTACTCCAGCAGCCTATTCTCACAATAACAAACCAAGTACACAACAAGTGTCTCAGCAGAAGACTTCATATCCAGTCATTCTGCCTTCAAGGTTAACAGCCATGAATACCCGTGACTTCCATGAATTGGTCCAACTCTTTTTGAAATCAACCAAGCTGGCAGCCAGCACTATATCTTGTGGTAGCAAATTCCAAACTCCACTAACATATTGCATTAAAATATTCTTTTCTCTATTCTGATTCTTGAAGGATTCAGCTTCATAGAGTGACCTCTGGTTCAAATACTTGGTGAAAAGGAAATTGTCCTTTCGTTCACTTTGTATACGACATCTACTCTCCGGATAGCCTGTGCTTGAGGTTTTGTCTATATCTTTGAGTGGCTTGTCTATGTATTTATCTAGTTTTAATTGTATATTCTTATGTTTCAGATCCCTATGTGAAAATTCATCTGCTGCAGAATGGCAAAAGGCTTAAGAAGAAGAAGACTACAGTCAAAAAGAAGACCCTGAACCCCTATTTCAATGAATCTTTCAGCTTTGAGATTCCCTTTGAGCAGATACAGGTTCCCATGTTTCTCATTTGAGGGTGTGGGATGATGCAGGCAGCTCCCAGAAAACTTTGGGTTGGCGTATTTCTCCATTGTCTCTGACTGCTTCACAAAGCACAAGGGGCAGATCCATGATCTGACACAGGCAGTTCTCCATCAATGATGGTTGAACCTTGGAAGGGAAAGGAGTTCAAATGGTGCCTCTCCGATATCTTGAGTAACTTATCATCCTGGCCATGACATCATCCAGACAGTTGGCCTTGCTGGATGGAGATGGTGATAGCTGAAATCTGACATATCTACAGGGTGTATGTTTGTAGCAGTTCTTGATTCCCTTTCTCCTTATTCCTTCTCCTTCCTTTATGCCCCTTTAATAAAAGTTTACTTGGAATAAGATTGTACAGAGAACTTTTCAGCAGAGGAGGAGGGGTTGTATATGAATCCACTGATCCATATACATTATTCTAACTGTTGTATCAGACAGATCTTTTGAAGAGCTCAATAGGATAGAAATATTGTAAAGATTTAAGTTTAATTTATGTATCTTTCTGAAGTCTCTACTAACTTTATACTGGGGCCAAGGAAGGGAAATTGTATATTGCATCTTTGTTTTAAAAATTTAGTGTTTTCCACTTGGTTATATCCAAGTCTGTGATCATGCTGGTTGGGAATTTGGAGAATTAATAGTCTTACCACATACACAGGACTCAAATTGGGGAGGTTTAAGTTTTTATAAAGGAGAGGTAGGCAGGCAAGCAAGCTGAATAGTTGGCTAGCTATTAAAGCCATTGCCAAACATCTTTGCTGATGTTGTCAGTCATATTAACGATTCCTACATTTCTCTCTCTCTCTCTCTCTCTCTCTCTCTCTCTCTCTCTCTCTCTCTCACACACACACACACACACACACACACACACACACACACACACACTGTGTCGATGTTCCTCTTGGATTTAAATCTGTACTCTGAAAATCAGCATGTAGAGGAACCTAGCTTTATCATGAAAATAATATTTCCTTTCTCTTTGGAGAAACATTGGCCTAGCTTCAGCCAGAAATGATAATTACATGAAGAATTCTTTCTACGTAAATCTTCTCATTGGAGATTTTCTTAATACTCTAAATATTTAATTTTATTAATTTAGTAAATGAGCTATAACATGTATTATTCACTTTTTAATATAGTGATAGTATGGGGAACAAAATAAGATTAAAATAATAAAATTAGAGCAAGTGACTAGAATGATAACATTAAACCAACAGATTAAAATATTAAAATGACAACAGCAACCAGGAATAAAGCAGCATCAATTCATGTAAAAGTCTGGATGAACAAATACATGTTTTCTAGTACCAGCCAGAACTGAGAAAATACTAGATTATATTTGCAAGATCCTCTCCTCTTTGCCCATGAATTATATCATAGATCTTACTAGTAGCAGTGTGCTGCAGCTACCAAAAAAGCCAAAGCACTCCTGGCCTGCATTAATAAAGGGATAGAATCAAGATCACATGAAGTATTAATACCACTCTATAATGCCTTGGTAAGGCCATACTTAGAATATTGCATCCAGTTTTGGTCACTATGATATAAAAAAGATGTTGAGACTATAGAAAGAGTGCAGAGAAGAACAACAATGATGATTAAGGAACTGAAGGTAAAACATAACAAGAACAGTTGCAGGAATTGGGTATGAATGAAAAGAAGGGACAAAGGTTAATAAGATAGCAGTGTTCCAATATCTAAAGGGCTATCACAAAGAACAGGGAGTCTACCTATTATCCAAAGCTCCTGAAGGCAGGATAAGAAGCAATGGATGGAAACTAATCAAGGAGAGAAGCAACCTAGAAATAAGGAGAAATTTCCTGACAGAACAATTAATCAGTGGAATGGCTTGCCTCCAGAAGTTGCAAGTGCTCCATCACTGGAGATTTTTTAAGAGATTAGACAATCATTTGTCTGAAATGGTATAGGAACTCCTGCTTGAGCAAGGACCTGGACTAGAAGGCTTCCAAAGTCCCTTCCAACTCTGTTATTATGTTATTTTGTTAATTTGGCTTACTAACCATCTCTGTTTTCTTGCTTCTCTCCAGAAAGTGCAAGTTGTAATTACTGTTCTGGATTATGACAAGTTGGGAAAGAATGAAGCTATTGGAAAAGTCTTTGTTGGCAACAATGCCTCAGGCACAGAGCTCAGGCACTGGTCTGACATGCTGGCCAACCCTCGCCGCCCCATTGCCCAGTGGCACTCCTTGAAACCTGAAGAAGAGGTGGATGCAGCTCTTGGAAAAAACAAATAGGCAGCTCCATTTCCCAACATCACCTAATGAACATTCAAAGTGATCCAGAGCTATCAATACCTCAGTTAGGCAACATTTAATTTTTGTTCTCTTTTCTAAGCTGCAACATTCTTTCTTTGATGGCTGCAAGGGAATCCGGATGAACTCAAGAGTATCCAGGAAGAAGTGGTTTAAAATCATGGTGGTTCCTTCTTTTCACATTCTTCCAAGTAGTTGGTTTGCTGCATGTTCCACCATCTCTCTTTGTATTTTCTCTTCAAATATACAGCAAGCTTTTTACTTGGGTCTTCCTGACACCACCACAAATAACCGCACAAAGCAGCTTTGCTTTTGCTTGTTTTGGGAGTTTCCTCCTTAAATGAGACCTTGTGCTACAGGATGATACCAGAGTCTGAAAATGTGAGATGACCAAATAACACTGTGCTTGCTTTGGAAAAAAAAAAAAGCAAGGTGTATGAAAAAGCGTTCCTGCAAAACTGTGTTCAGTGAGGTTTGGCCATTAGCCATCTATCAGGAATATTCAGGAAAAGCAATACTGGCACTGGGACATCTCGGAAGATGTGGATAGGTAGTGGATTAATTCTCTGTAATAAGAGGACTAAGGTTTGAAACATACAAGTTGCCAAATGATAATTGCCTGTAATAGCTATCTAATATAGTGGGTCTTCTGTTAACCTTTAAATTTTCTGTTCTTAATTAGAACAATGGAGCAGTACCAGGAGATCACTGGAGCATGAAATCTACAAATGCATGCTTCTGTGGAAGACAGAGTGCAAAAATATCCTTTTTCTTGGGGAAAAAAAAGCCAAACATTATGGGATATTTATGCCAGGCTTCACAAGCTATCAATTTATGTGAAGATTTCACTCTTTCTAAGATAGTCATCTAATTGGTAGCAGTGCCAAGCTTAGATGCATCAGAAAAAGTTATGTCAAGAGTCTCAGGCAGCTTTGCAAATCTGATAAAAACGATAGGCCTCGGTTGATTTGCAGACATTTGCTTTCATGCCTTGTTACTGCCATTCTTCTTTTAAAACCACAAATCTGTTGAGTGCTACAGATTAATTAGTGGAAAATGTTTATTTTTATGAATTTAGAACTTAAATGATGTGAAAAAAATGCTTGAGACTGAGGACTGTGTTTTTCTAATGCTGAAGATAGGAAATTTTAGATGAGTGATGGGTTAGAAACAACAGGAAGGTCCATCTAGTGGCTAGTAGAGTGCAATAAGTATCTTAAGAAAGCTTAATTTAGAAAAAAAAAGTACTATCAGTTGGGAATTCCCCCCTTCTCTCCCCGTTGCCCCCCCACCAGTCACATTTAATTAAGGGAGCAAAGCCAGAAATTAGTGGGAAAGTGAATCCATTCCAATCAAAAGACCAAAGATACATCAAAAGCAACAGGGCCTTCTCTTGTCTGGTTGCCAAAGCATTCATGATTTCTTTGCTAATCCCAGAAAGTCAAGCCATATTATCTTTGTTACCAAGTGCTTGCACTGATTTCTGACCCCCCCCCCACCTTTGTTTTTAATATAGTGCCAGATACAGATATCTTTTCAGACTGATGGTAATGGAAAGAGGTTAATGGGGGCTAGAAACTAAGATATTGAAATAAAAGCTTCTTTTTAGAGTTTAATATAGAATTAGGAGTTAATGAAAAGAGGGTGAAACATCAAAACCATGAGTCTGGGAAAGTTTGAGAGAGTAGCTGTTCTATCAGTGACCACTGAATTGCTTTCATCTGGAATATCCCTGGTAAATAATTGATTGGGGTTGATAGAAGTAAAAGAATGGTTTCCAGTTATGAGGCGGAGTGAGCAGAGCTCAGACTTGTGTCTGACTAGTGGTTGTGTAAGTATAGATACAATAGGAACAGATGTTTAAATCAGATAGTTTTAAGAGGAGAGAGAAACAAGAAATCTAAGGTTCCAGTGTATTCAGCAGTTTTTTTTTCTGGCTGTACCTATTTATCTTGCATCTGGTCCTAAATTATAACTTTAACCATCTGCCAGCATTGCCTTCAAGGATATTAGTTGCTTGGTCTTTGTGCTAGTTTTGTTCCCTGTAAGGGATCAGGGCCTAACAAAAAGCAGGTTGCTAATACTCAAAGCATTCCATTCTGATTCCTCACTGAGCAGTGCTATATATTCAAAGAATAGTTTGTTTGTCACCGCCTCTTACGTTAAAATAGAAAAAAACCTTCCAAGTGAGATCATCTTTATAATTGCTGCATCATTTAGGCTGCAAATATGGACCAAAGTAATCAAAGGACCACTTGTAACTAAAATGTAAACAAATCAAACTAAGAACCCATGTCTGAAGGTGAAGCCAGAAGGATTTTTGAGGTTCCTGTGTGAGATCTCTAAGGATAAGAATCAATGCAAATGATAGACAGATTGATACAGATGAAAATTGCACAATTGAGTTCAGATTCTAGTTCTTAAAGTATTTCATTCAATTTGTTGTAAGCATTCTTCTTTCTTTTCTACCTATTTCCACCTGATTAACCCACTGTACAATTAGTGAGGAGGGAGAAACATTACTACCTGCTTAAATGCTTCAAAATAAGCTGCCTTGGTATATCCAAGCAAAGAGAGAAGACAGTTGAAAGCTTTCTGTATGCTCTCCCCAAATTCCCTTCCTTGTTTAATTACATCTAAATAGTTATAATTTTACCTTGCTTCAGTGTGAGCTATCACACTTGGAACTTTGGCCCTAACTGCACAAAGGGACTATTGAAATTGTTCATCACTGGCTCTGAAGAGGTGTATGTAATTGTTTATATGCTTACTGAGAAAAATTAGACTTAATGGAACTTTTCTGTGGAAATAAGTTTGACGCAAGCTTGTTCTACAAAGAAAAGGAGTAAGTGAAAGGTGTGCCCAATTCCTTTATTGTGCCTCTTAGCTTTAAATACTGCCAGCTGGCAACAATATAAGATTTCAAGCATCATTAATGCATCCTGGTGGAGCTCTGAAATCAAATATGAGTTTTGGTTTAGACTGCATCTTCACTGATCTTGAGAGCAGAACTGCTCTAAGGTGAGAATGTTCTGAGAAAAGGATGAATCTCTTTCCACTAAAAGCAAAAGTTTGACAAGTAAGGTACCTTTCCTGGTGAGATTATAAACCATTGAGGGGATTGTTGTTATATCATGTCTAAGGTTAGCTGGAAGAAGGAAGGAATGGAATTTTGCTGATCATATTCTTGTTGGGTCTTCTGCCTTTCAGGGTAAGCAGAACTGAAATTAGGCATCATCTCTTTAAAACTGCTATGTATAAGACTGAGGGATTGAAGCAGTTCTTCTTAGAGTTGCCTATAGTTTGGATAGGGTCTGACAAACAAATTCTTATTTTTGCTGTAATCAATTAGAACAGTGATTCTCAAACTTGGCAACTTGAAGATGCATGGACTTCCACTCAAATTCTGGCAGTGGAAGTCCACACATGTTCAAGTTGCCAAGTTTAAGAAATACTGAACTAAAATATTGTCTCCAGAGACAATAGTCCTTTTGTCTTTCCTTTTTATCACCAGTGGGGACTGAAGAATCCTTTCCACAGCTACAGAATGTGGGATCAGTTTTGGTTTTGCATTCTCCGTTGTTTGAAAGTAATGTTTGCTCTGAGTTGCAAAAACATCCCCAGGCCCCATCCTCATCATTCTGTCATTAGTTCATTTCTTAGCTGCTTTTCAAGAGGTCATTATTTAAAGGCAGACATGTTAATAGGAAACATGTGCCATTTAAATGTGTTGATTTGTAACTCTGATCTGACCTGAAATGAACACTTTTTATAGAGCCCTCAAACTTCATATCCATTTCTGGCTTGATTGTTTGTACTTATATGTTGTATCCATTATAACTCACTCCTTCATTCATACTACAAAACAGATGCCTACCTGAACTGCTTAACTGCATTGGTGCTTATACCCCAGGATAGTGCTTCTACTCACATTGTTACTTCACATTTGATGGATACTTCTACCAGAAGAAAGACAAACAAATGTGCTGAAAGCAAGGGTTCTGATAGACTTGGCTAGTTAATAATATATTGGATGCACATAGCAATTCATGTTAAAAGGTATTTCTAGTCAGTTTGATTGACTCTAGCTGAACAATGGAAAGAAGATATCACTGAGGTACAAGAAGGCTGCTGTACTCTCACTAGCTTAGAATAAACAGTTGAGTATCTTCATTTTTAATGGTTCATATGGCAAAATGGCTACTTCATCATGCGTACCTGCTTTGGTTCCTTCTGCTAACCACCCTATCTGAAAGCAGGGAACTGGAAATAGTAGTACTAATAAATCAAAACATAACCTTTTATTGAATACGGCTTCTATTTTTATGGTTTAAAATGGTTTAACAATCAGTGTAATATATTTTGTTGAATTTCTTTTCTGCATAAAAGGGTTGAGAAAATGAATCAATTAAGCCATCTAAGCCTCATTCAAACCCCATCATTTGTGTGTTCTTATGTATAAAATGATTATAGAGATCTAATATTAACATAAATACAACCTTCTTATAAATGATGCATGACAACAAGCACAGTATTTAAGTAAAAGCATGCAAAAGCAAAACTCGTACAATATGTGGATTATCATTCATTTTCTAGAAATACAGCCAGGCTACAGAATTATTTTTAAAATGTGGTGTGAATGAATTTATTTTACCTAATGCAATAGAGGGTGAGTGTAAAAAATCAGAGAATGATCGTAACAACATACATGTATTTTCAATAAAAAGTAATAATTTTTTAAAACAAAAAAAGCAACAAAGCATGCTTGATCCATTAAAATATATACTCGGTGAAAGCAGGGAGGGGTGGGATAAGATTTAACACCAACAAGATGGCAGTAAGTTTGATCAGTGTCTTGTGTAATTAATATTTGCAAAACTGGTGGCATTTTTACTATGTTCAGATAGCCACAATACTGCAGCTTCAATGTTCTGTGTGGTGTTGAAACCTTCTACTGTTGAAGCAAATTTAGAAGCCATATTAGATCACAGGCTGCCAGGATCCTGAAAGGGGGATTGGCTAACAGGTGATCCTTGCTCTCTCTGCTTCCCTGTCCCTGTTTTCTTTGTCTGTCTTTCTGTCTAACTGTTATGTTATCCACTTGGGTCACTGATGAGTGATAAGGCTGGCTTGAGGCTGAGGCCCTGCCTGGGGTCTGACCTTGTTAGGCTATGAATGGCATTGGTCTGAAGCCTTTTCTTAGCCTGTGAATAGGGGCTCTGGTGGCAGATTTGGGAACTGGAACATCTGGAGGTTTATCAGTGCTCATAACCTATTTGGCTGTTCCTCTTGGCAAGAATTATGATAGCAGTGGCTATACCTGGGAGGCTGACCATCGTTTGAATTTCTCATGGTGTTACTCAGGCATGTTGGGGGAAATTTAAATGCTGGGCAGTTTTCCAGAATAGAGAAGCAGTAACTGACATTGGAGCTCTTTCCTATTTGCTTGAAAAAATAGAGCTATTTGGCAAATACTAGCAGTTTGACGGTTTCTGTCACTTTATGCCTGGCAACAGAGTATAAAATATATGCTTTCAAAATTATTTGGAAGAAATGCTTCAGCTCTCACACCACTGCTGCAACTGTCTTACTAAGTAGCCACCTTTTTTTCAAGACTTTGTTGGAATACTGAGAAAAAGATACTACAGCTTTTAAAGTGAACTGTAAGTAAATTTTCAAAGCTTGCACAGCCTTACTGCCTAAAATAGTGGCTGCCTTTTTCAGTAAGAATTCTTAGTGGTTAAGACACCTACAACTGATGCAACCATGTTTTGTGTACATGGACATTACACTTTGGTTACACAGCTTCAAACAGGAAATATTGGTGAGCATATCAAGGTTTATGTTATGAAGATAGCACTTTTTAGCTAGAATTTTCAGAATGCTATCTAGCATAATTTAACTAAAATCACTTCTGTGCTTAAGGAGTGTATGGCAAAGAAGCCTCTATTTCCTGTAATTTTATAACTGGTTGTTTATGGATAAGAGGACCAGGACTCAATCTTGAGAGAAACAGACTAGTGTTTAAAGTGGTGCAGTATTAATAAAGTATCTGAAGATCATCAAGGCAGTTTTGATTAAGACAGTGTACTTGGTCATCAGGGACCACTAAACTACTCCTCATATGCTACTTGAACTATAGAAATCTAAGCAGTGATGGCAGCAATGCAGAAGTGTTGCAAATGGCCCAGGAAGAAAAATACAGTGCTATCTGGGATTTTTCCCATCTGCTTTAAAGTGCCAGGTGCTTTTGTGCCTTTAGCACTATATTTATGAACAAAGATCACCACATCATTATTTGACCACCTAATAGCATTTGACACTCCTATTAAATGCATAACTGCAAAGAGAGATGATGGCACCCCAACCTCCAAATTAGAACAGTTGTATGAAGAGATATTCATGATGACCCACTTAAAGGCTAGGTAACAAAAGGCTTCAGACTTCTGATACTCAGGTGTAGGGTGGGACCTCAGCTCCTTCCCATTCCAGCCATATTTCCTCTTTGTGATGTAGAAGCTTCCCAAACTGACTAAATTTACTGGAGTCTTCATCTCCAGGTATCTTCCCTACTTCAGGTGCAACATGAATTCAACTCCCCTAAGCCTGCAGGAAGCTGCTTTTAATGCTCCCTTCCCTATGGACTGTTTCTGTCTTTATTGTCAACCTGTTATTTTGTAATGATACGTGTCTCCTTATTAAAGAAATTAGCTGAAATATCTAGATGTTCTTTGTGTTTATTTACAAAGTACACACAACAAACTTGTTGGATCTTAGAATTAATAACTATGAGTTAAGAATAAATAGACCAAGAAATTGATTGTCACAAAGATTATAGACAATTTTGCCAACTGCATGATGATTTTGTCTCATTGTACAACTTTTAAAAATTGCTATTCCTGTAAGACAAAGAAACTGAAGCTTTTGGGATGAGAAGTGAAATGTCTTCCAAGAAAAACAAGAAAGTCCAGTTGCCTCGTGAAAAAGCACCTTTGGGACTGGAGTTCAAGGTCCAATTACCACATGGTTAAGGAAACACCAGATTAATATAATCTCAATCATACAGCATAAACAATATTTCTAAGGCCACCAGGATTTCTATACAATCCTTCCCTTTATATCTACATAGCTTGCCTTTTATATTTATAAAGAGCTTGGTTTAAAATCATAATCACTAGCAAACCAGCTTGCCAATTGTGCAGTTAAAGGTGCTTGGAAAATGTATTTCTGACATAGGTGCAATCATACATGCATTGACATAAACGAGAAATCCAAATTAAAAAGGCCTTACTTCAAATCCTATTTCAATTTAGACAAAATGTACCTCAGATCTCTAGGTGCAATTGATGGATCAAACTACAAACCTGAAAGGTTGCAGCAAAGAGTTATTAAAATAATATGCATAGAAATACACTTTGAATATAGTTAGATAATACTATTGCTTTAGACCCAAGCTTTGAATGTCTGCAAACAGACATTTCTTTGAGATTCTTGGAAGAAGAACCCAGAAGGGGATCAGATTGGGTGGCACACACACTGCTATAAAAATGAATTCTTCAAAGTAGGATACTCAAATATTTTGCACTTGTATGTGAAACCTAGGCACATTGCTGCAAATCTTCTCTGGCCTCAGCAGTGAAGCAGACCTTCTTTGCTAAACTGCAAATTTTCTCCCCAATTACTGTATCATCAGGTTTGCCTTCCTTAGAGGGTTGTAGTCTCACTTTATTTTTGAGGTCATTAAGGGAGAAGAAACTGGATCATTTCTAAGTTAGAAGACGGGAGGAGGTGAGTTTTCTTAGAAGCTCCTGTAGTCTACAGAGGAATAACCTGATTCAAAATAAAACACTTTTGTTAAGTCAAATGCATGTGCACCCATTTAGACTCATTTCTGGGTTGGCTCTCTGTTGCTATGATTGGACTTTGTCCTGGATCAGAAAGCCTTATCCACAAATATGCTTCCTTAAATTTTCCTGCTTCTTCATGCACAAAAGAGCCATTCCACTGACTGTGACTAAAAAATTACTGGCCAACAGGTGGGGGCACTGGCATTTCAGAGCTCACATTTCTGATGAATTCCTGGTTTGGGGCTAACAATTATGTGGAGAAAATCTGAAAGATAAGAGCAGCTAACTGCACATTTCTCACAAATCAACAGCAGAGGTCCTTCCAACCTGTGCGTTTCTATTCTGTAATTATAAATTCAATTGTGTACAAGAAGTTACTTGTTTTCCAGATTATTTTGCTTATTGAAATTGGGCTTGATTATTCCCTCTGGTATAGGATTTAGGCATTAGGGTGGCAGGTGGAACATTGTGGCTGTACCTGTAATTTTTCTAAAACCTTCCAATAAAAAAGTGTCATGTTCCTCCTGTTGTCTAAAGGGAAGAAACATGGGTAACTCCTGCTGTTGAATCTTTCTCCAAAACTAAACTGCAACAAATGCAGGCTATGGTTCAAATTTTGCACCCCAAAGCCAAAACCTTTTTGTAGTGTATGTGAATGATTAGCTAACTATTTTGGGAAAATGCACAGTATTAAACTTTATTGAGCAATGTATCCCCATGACAATTCCATTGTGTGTGGGTTTTTTCAACTTTCAGGTTGCACAATAATTAGATTTTATTTCACTTGTAACAGAGTAGCCATCCATTGACTTCTGAGCTTTGTGTGACTTGGAAACAGCAAGAGTAAACATACTTTATGTTGTCTTCTGGAACAGGGCCAATAACCAATTTATCACTGATGAGAATACCCTGGTATTGGTATTGATGAAAGTGTTCTGTGGTCAAACTAGAAAAGTGGGGAATACAACTTGCAATACATGGGTACCTCAGTTGCCTTAGTTATCTGCCAGCCAATTACATGCTATATACATTAGTCCTGTCAGTTACTGCAACACACAATGATTTCTCCAAAATATCCCAACTTTTTAATATTACATTTGAATATCTTCTGTAGAAAAACAAACACACAATTTCTTAGCACAGGATTGCTGTCATAGTTGAGATGCAGCCATGGCAATCGCTCTTGTATTAAAACCTTGGATGGGTGCTGTTTAAGAAGAATTATTTCCTTTCCTACACTGTGGAATGCTGATGGTAGCTTTCCTTCAGTGATTCTCATTTTTTTAAAAATATTACCCCTGTGGATTTAATAACATTTATCTATCTTCCCCACAAAAAGCAATTGCCTGTAAGGAATTATTAATAAAGCAAGGATAAAAAAGTCGCCATAAGGAATATGAAAAAAAATGCTCCTTTTGATTCAGCTTTTGGTCAGGCAGTTTTGTCATATGTGATGGCAGTTCATAGAACAGTGTTTCTGTCTCTGATCAGGTTGATGCAATGGCACACAAAGACACCAAAGTCATCTGGTTTTCCTTGCCTCCTATCCTGCAGAAAATAGTTCCTTCCTTTGGCAACCAGCACTCTTTGTAGAATTTTAAGGTGGTTTAATGCAACATACTCTTCATCTACTGTGTGAGTGGTTCAGCCTCTTCAGGAAGAAAAATGCTTTCCTATCGATGTAAATGAAGCAATGCAGCAGGGAGCAGGGCCATGTGTTCATGTCTACCAGGGTTCTGGTATTTAAAAGCTAATCAACAGATTCATGCCTCTCCCAAGTACACTAATTAGCACTCCCATCAACACTGACAGGGCAAGCCACTGGTATATTAACAGAAAACAAACCCCATTCCCTTCTAGCACTGATGAGGTTACCTAGTTGGATAATGATACATCAGCAAGAAAACAACCAAGCTCAGAGAACACCAAGAACTCCATAGATTAGTGCAGTGATGGTGAACCTTTTAGAGATTGAGTGCCCAAACTGCAACCCAAAGCCCAGTTATGCATCGTCGGGTGCCGGGTGGGTGTAGCCCATTGGCTGGGTGTGGCTGTGGTGGTAACGGTACACTGGGTGGGACTAAAAAGTTCAATCAATCAATTCCAATTTTGCAAGATCTTTTTTCTCCCCGCGAGAAGTTGAAATTGACTGACTGAACCTTTTTTTTTTTTTTTTGCATACAGTGGCGGAGGCCTAAAGTGAAAAGGTTTTATAATACCCAGCTGAAGGCCTAGGACTGGGGTGATGGCACACGTGCCCACAGAGAGGGCTCTGAGTGCCGCTTCTGGGACCCGTGCCATAGGTTCGCCACCACTGGATTAGTGCCTCTATACTGAGACTGAAACTCCATATTTGCATATTGAACCAAGTTGCAGGTAGACAGCTCTATTTATCATTTGTCACTTTGGGAAGAAATGGGCAGACAGATCCTGTTTCAGAAAGTCATTTCAAACAGCAATGCAAAATGTTCATATGGCTATTTCATCACAATGTGAAATCCTTCTTAACTTCCTCATATCAGAGAATTCCTAGTCTGACTTGATTCACCACATTGTTCAGACAAATTCTCAATACCGCTGCTTCATTTTTACATCTGATTATGCTTAGCACTAAGCTCTTGGACATTATTTCTTAAGAGTCAAACAAATATAATACTAATATATGAAGTGATGAGGAAACTTGAATCAAAAGAGAAATTGTTTTCATCATTAAGGAAATAAGTCTCACTGCAGGAAAACATACACTTTCATTAGTTAAGACATTTGGACAACATTAAAGCATTTGTTTTATTCATTTATAAATACTGTTGTGTTTACAAGCAATATAGATGTGAATATTATCCTCAAACTTTCAAACATATAATACTTAGAATACTATGTAACAATCAGGAAAACAAAAACATTCATCTCAAAATTTGGAAGGCCACTCAAAAAACATTGCATAAAAATACATTCTCTTCCTTCACGCACAAGCCACTCTTTTCTCCAATTAGTTATTTACAAAGAACTGTAAAATATTTTTTAAAAACAGAAAACACTTAGCATATTTGCATGTGGGAAGTTAATGAGCCAACAGTAGGATGCTGTTCTTTTTTCAGGAATAGCTTTTACAGTAAGAGATTTTGACTTTCCTCAATATTATATACTAAACAGGAGTGGAAAGATACACATTTTAACATAATTTGGACCCTTCTGTTGGCTCAAGAACATACAAAGTTATATTCACCCAGAGTTCAACTTGCCCCATGAAATAAAGGAATCTTGGGAAGTGATTGAATTCATCAGTAAGTTGCTAAGAAGTAATCTTGGTTAAAAAAGCAAAAACAAAAGCAAACTCTTCTTGGAATATGCTAACTCTAGTAGAATCACACAAAAATATTTCAAACACAGAATAAATGTGATCGAAACACACCATTCAAAGAAAAAGTCCTGGGAAACTGAAAGCTTGAAACAAAGATATTATAGTTGCCTTTGAGATATAGACTTTCTGCTTCCCATATTTAATATCCCGAAGTCAGAAGCTTTCCTCTCAGGTTAGCTAACATGGCAGCAAGCTGAGTGGAGCTGGAAGGTCAAAGAGAGAAAAACGAAGCCTATTGTAGCAAAGCTGAAGGACTTCATAAAAATGCATATATGTGAATGGTCAAGGACAATTCTTTGTGAGGGGACATTCAATTTGCGAAAAATCCTGTCAAAATAACTTCATTTTTAGGTTCTGGTAAGCACTAAAATAATTGAAAAGAATGTGTTGAGAGACATCTGCATATACACTGTAGAAGTCCTATTGGTGTACACTGGGTCCTCTTCCTCAAAACCCTCCACAATTTGGGGAAAATATTTTGGTTACTTTTCACATCCTAGTAATTTGAAAGAACTTGATAACCCAATGGTCCAGGTTTAAATGGGGGCAGAGGACTACATTCACAATAACAAAATATTTGTATGGGTTGGTTATTCATTAGATGTCCAAGAAGGGACATATACGTTACATTTTTTTTTACATTTATATCATTCAGTTAGGGACAAATGTTAACTTTAGTCTAAAGCAGGAATGGGGGAAGTGAAGTGTCCTGAAATTACTGAACTACAGAATCCTCAACCATCATGTTCAATGGTGACGGATGCTGAGATTTCAGAATCATTTGAAGGGCCATAAGTATCTCATTTTTTGTCCTAAGAAATAACAAACCTTAATCTTTTATGTATCAGTGATAGTCCATGGGTTGTGTTTAATCTATATTCAATGCTTTATCACAGTGTTTCCCAAACTTGACAATTTTAAGGCATGTGGACTTCAACTCCCAGAATTCTACAGCCAGCGTTGCTGGCTGTGGAATTCTGGGAGTTGAAGTCCTCATGCCTTAAAATTGTCAAGTTTGGGAAACACTGCTTTATCAGCAAACAGCAACATGTTTAGTGTTATAGTTGAGTTATTCCATGGGAATAAGTGTTTTAAATGGTAATTATTAATATAAACATCCCTTAAGAGAAAAGAAGAAAGTGGTATGCCAATGACTCTAGATTAGTTTCCAATAGTAAAAATCAAATGCATTGGAAAATGATCAAGTTAGATTCATCTAATGCTCCCTGATCATCCAGATTTCACCCATGAATTGTTTCCATTAACAGTAAAATAATATGGATAGAAACAAATAAATACTAAGTAAACTTTTCTTAAATACAAATGTACTCATATCTACTTGCTCTTGCACCTACAAAATCCTGTCTTCTGAAATGCTTTTCCCTCAACCTTTTATGTTCTATGAGTTTATCCATATTACTAGGAAGACAGCCTTCTTGTAATGTAAACCAATCTATCACTAAATGGCTAGTAAGACTTTCTTCCCTATTTATAGCTGTTTTCCTATACTTAGTTTTTTAACATGTAAAACCTCTAATTTCATATAAAACTTAATTCTTAGTAGCCAAATCCCACTGAACATTCCTTTCGATTTGAAAGGAATAAAATTGTTTTTCTTCTTATGCTTCTTAAAGTGTTTGCACAAGGATTTGGAAAAATTCACAGGGGAAAGCTTTCAGAAACAAGAACCAAAGAAGAACCATTCATTTCCCATTTTAAATAAAAACTTCTCTTATCCACAAGCTTGAAAGCATTCATGTCACAGACTAGACTTTCAACCATTCTCCTCTATCATTTGCAACTTATGCAGAGAACATTTTAGCTGACTGCACAATTAAAACAGAACATTCATCCGAATCTAAACTTAATTAGGTCAGAGCAATAACCAATGACGGGAGTAATATTTTTGTTCTTGATATCTTTTAAAAACAAGTAGTCCTGAATTCTTGAGGAAAGTTTACTTGATCATATAAAAAAAACCTTAAAATAATTGATTTAAACATGAACAGGTCTTTTTGCCGATGCACACATTCAACCTCTCATTAAATCAGGGAGTTTCTTGGAAATACTTCCTGGTTTCAAATGAAAATTTTAGAATAAGATATTAAACCATATACTAGTTCTTGGGTTGATAGTTGTAGTGTTTAATTCAAATGAAATAAATAACTTCCATTCAAGAGTTTCCTTTTCGCCATTTTTTGAGAGAAGGAACAAATCTCATTCATATTTCAGCTTTTGGAACTGGACTAAGATTTTCTTTGCATCAGGATAAAACAGTATGAAGGTAAGAAAAAAATATTTAGGTCTAAACTGTTAATATGTTGCCATTCATCTTAATGACATCCATGTTTTTATCCCCTTGCCCCCCCAATAAAACATTTTATGGTGAGCATATTGGATTGTATCATGATTAATCAGCTCAGAAAATTCTAGACTAGATAGGGCACAATTCTTCACAGTATGCTTATTAATGTTTCTCCTTTGATTTCTGGATATTAAAACTGAGGTTGGTTTAAGTTACTACATTCCAGGTATAAAATGACAGTAGTATGCAGGAACTCTTACAGAATGATTATTTTTTCATGTTCATGACTGTTTATGGTAGAGCTTGACAGGACTTACTAAAAATCTTTTGTTCATATCCCCCTGCAATCCTCTATGGGACTGAAATAAGTTAGGCAGTAGAAAAGCAATATCATGAATAAAATTCATTGCAATGACAAAATGTACCGTAAATGCCGGCGTACAAGGCGACCCGGCGTATAAGACGACCCCCGTCTTTATAGCTGGGCCGCATTCCTAGAACGTCATCTTATACGCCGGAAACTACCAGTATTTCCGGCGTATAAGACGACTCGGTGTATAAGATGACCCCCATCTTTGGCGTCGATTTCAGCGCTCGCGGAAGTCGCCTTATACGCCGGCATTTACGGTATTTAGCTTCCATATATAGTTGTTAGACTTACTTTGAAACCTGGACAATATCCAAAGTTCCCCAAAAGGTGAATAGAGGAAACAAATGGGCTGTTGAGAGCCTTAGAGCTAAACTAGAAAGCTCTAAGTACAGTAAATGCACTGATCACTACATCAGACTTTGATATGTTTATACAACCAATATCTGAATTAGTCAGCTCATAGGTGGCAACTCCTGGCGCTTAACAAAATTCTGCATTTCATTGTAGCTAATAAAAGCAAGAAGAATACATGAGTACACAGAACAAAAAGATGAAAGAGAAAAGGTCAGTCATCTCTTTGTTATAGTAGTCCACAATAGATTAAAAAAGCCACATTGTGTTGACTATTGAGCAATGATGGCAAAAAGGTCTGAAGACTACTGCTCACTTGTACCTATGTATAGCTGCTTTTCTTACATTCCAAAGGCTCTGTTCTAATCAGTGTGAAAACTGACTAAATCTAGATCAAAAAGTGTAGCTTCAAAATGAGATATCATGCTTTGGAATACAAAGGGAGAAAGAAAATAAATGCAGTAGCCAGGATTTGGAAAAATATATTAAGTGCTGCAAGTGAAATCTCATTGTTATAACTAGAGAAGCACAGTCTCTGAGGCAGGTAGTATTCTGAGAGTCTATAAAAGTTAATGTATTCATTTCCAGTATGACCAGAAACCAGGGTGTGAGTGCTACTGATCTTACTGTTGATATTAAAGACAAATGCATTTATGTTTACAATTGCGCAAATGAAACATTGCATTAAATTTCTCAAACATTAGTATAATTTTAAAAAGGCTCTCCACCAAGACTGAGAGAGCATTTTGTACTGGGCTAAGCACCTCTAACCATCAGCCTTCTTCCATTTTAAACTCTGAGAATACTTTTGTGTTTTCAGTTTTGCGTCTATTGAACATTATCTTAAATCCAACTTATTTGTACCACAATGTTATTACTTCACTGGTAAATTAATTATTTTGCTCATAAAGATATGCTGATGGATTGTGCAGATACATCCTACATATTTTATACAAGTGGAAATCCACCCTAAGCAGTTTTTGCTGTTAGACGTCCTTCCACCAGAATTCTTGACAGAAAAAGGGACCATAATGTGTGTTAAAGAATGTGGAAGTTATAAGGTGTAATCATCTATTAAATAGTTCTAGAGAAAACAACCATGAAACAAAATAGTAGGAAGCATCTTGAGGAGGGCTGGAAAGAAGGGGAAAACAATTATTGGGCTCCAATATTAAAGTATATTAAGTACTGAGAGATACGTAGAATATGTATTTCCAAGGCAAGACACCATTATGAGACTCCCAAAGAAATAAACCATCATGTTTTTCATAGATTGCAGACTCCTAAATTCCAGGAAGAAGAGTAATTCCATTTCACTCCCTATTCCTATTCCATGACAGTATCTTAAGACATGTTCAATTGACACTATAGTCACTTCTATATTACTTATTACAGTAGATACTTCTTTACATCAGATTAAGGTTGGATGCATATGGGGTTTACAGCAGATGGTTTAAATAGTTCAGACAGTGCCAATCACTCTTTGTCTCTTTGAATAAATTACTCCAATACTGTAAAAATAATAAACTTGTGGTGTGGCATGCTTTTAGAAGAAAGGGGCAGGGTAAGCACTGTGCAAAATAAAAATGCCCAGCAAGTGCAAGGAGCTGTGTATGTTGCCAACTGGTCCATGACTAAATTGCCAGCAGTTCTTTCGATTGGAAAATCAGAAGCAGGTGGCAGGGTTGACAGCTTGTGCACAGAAATCTCCTCTTTCTGCCCATCCTTTGTTCAATATGTTACTTTGAGAGTTTACTGATGACTCGGATGAGTGCTCCATTCTCATCTTTCAGTCGCTGATTGTCTGACTTCAACTCTGTCAAAACCTGTTTCAAAGACAAGATAGAGCATCAAAACCTTTCTGTGCTGATTGCCCCAGAACATTCCAGCCACTGGGGAGGGGGGGGGCAAAGTTAGGAGAGAAAAAATAGAGTAATGTAAACAGTAAGCTCTATTCATATGAAATGGCTTTTGTTTAGCATATGGCCAACTCTCCTTACTCAGTGTAATAGTATTTTACCTTCCTAAAACAGAAGAGGGAAATTATCCCAGATATATGCAGAACAGAAAATTATGTGTTGACCCACATGATTTCACTGGTTGATACAAAGCAACAAATGTTGCCTTGCTCTTAGCCATATCAAGGCATAAAATACCCCAAATCAGTCAAGTTATTTTGATGCATAAGACAGAAAATACTATAGGCACCTCTCTTCAGACTTATCTCTCTAAATCAGGGCTTTTCAACCTTTTCACCCATGCTACCACTTTTAGGATATGGCAACATCCGAGTACCACCAGTTGCCTAGCAAGGTGTCAAAAACTTGATGACCAAAAAAAAAAAAGGAAAAAAGTGATAAAGTACAGTTAGTCCTCGACTTACAACAGTTCACTTAGTAACTGTTTGAAGTTACAATGGCACTGAAAAAAGTGCCCCCCAAGCCACAGCCGAGCAAGACACCTGCCTGCCCGCCTGGCAGTGCTCTTCCTCCTGTCCAAGGTTTTCATTGTTGTGAGCATTATTGTTGAGGATTGGCAGTGGGGGTGGGGGGGTGTTTGGTTTTTATTCCCCCCGTCTGCTGGGTGGTTGCAGCAGGTTTTGGTCACTTCACATGACCCTGGGATACTGTGACCATCATAAATATGAATCAGTTGCCAAGCATCTGAATGTAAATCACAAGACCCTGGAGATGCTGCAACATTCCAGCTGATCGGCACTTCTTCTGGGCTAAACAGAAGTGCCAGGATCACTGCTGCTTTCCAGCTGGAGCCTGCTGCTGATCCTGGCGCTTCCGCTGAGCCCTGACAGCCCCGAAGAAGCACCAATCAGCTGGAAAGCGGCACTGAACCTGGTGCTTCCACTGAGCCCTTGCAGCTCCACCTGTCTCTCGCTCAGGCTTGTGCAGTGCTGCCACCGGTTCAGCTCATTCCCCTCCCCTGCTACCACTTTTCTAGGATGGTCGCGTACCACCTGCCAGGTGCCAATGTACCACAGGTGGTACCCATACCACTGGTTGAAAAGCCCTGCTCTAAATGAGATAACTAATAAACCTCTACCCTTTTCATAACATCCAGTTTTCTTCTTAATAACAAACTTAACTAAATTTGGAAAAACAATAGTCTTTTTTTAATTTTGAAAGGAAACTGATTAATTGTAAATATGTATATCTCATTTTTGTGTGACAAATCAATTATGAATCAAAGAGTCTGGTTTAGGTAGATCTTCTTTTACATATTATAGAGTACAAACATACAAGTAACAGTAATGATAAGTTGCTCAAAAACTAGGTATTATTTCAATTATTTAAACACATATTTCACATTACCTATAGGGAAGAAAATGGCATGGACTTTTTTGTGGAAAATGTTTTCAGTAAACATTTGTCAGGTTTTTTTTTCTAGACTGAAAGTGGCTTTTACTTTCTTATGTGTTCCCCAAAATAAACTAATAAAAGGTACTTTGGGTTAAATTTTCTTCATTTTTGAAATGTAAAATGTCATTTTAGTTGATTAACAATTTGGACTATGAAAAAGTGGTATTAATAAAGTGTGCTTAAAAATGCCAAGTTATCAAGATGGAGCCAAAACACAAATTTATTCAGGATCTCTTGCCAATACAAATGTGCAATTGGCCACTAATAACTCAATGTATCTCTATTTTCATATGATAGAATAAAAAATATGTACAAGTTCTTAGTAGGGCAATTATATTGAAATTAAGCAATCCTTAATATGGTTTACTCATAAAAAGGAGAGGCAATATTTTGAATTGGATTGGTAAGGCATGATGAAGGAAAGGAATCCAAATTAATCAACAAATCAAACAAATCAAAAATATTTCTGAAGATGCATTTAATCCCTGCTTTTCCCTTAAATCATCCTGGAATTCTTTTCTCTACAAGAGGTGTGAAACTCCAAAAAAACCTGACTGACAAGCTAATAGAATCTACTCAATTTGAAGGAATCCAGAACTGGTGAGACTATTTTAATCAAGTCTGACTCCACAATAGTGGGTTAGAAAAATAACATAAGGTTTTTCTTATTTGTACACAAAGCTTTTTATCAAATCTGCAGTTCAACTCTGAGCTACACGATGAGATTGTAACACAGTACTATACATGTTATAGATAGGTATGACTGTGAAAGTGGGAGAGCAAGAAAAATACTGTGGATCCTTTCGTTTATATATTTTGAAGAAGTTTACCATGGACTGACAAAAGAATAGTCAATCTGGGACCAGACAAAAACTAACCATTTGCTTAATTTGAGCATCTGATGCAAATGGATGGGCTGGGAAGAGTAATAGGAGGCTTTGCAAAGTTGACAAAAGTGTAAGAAAGGGAAAACTACAGATAAAGTGAATGACTAGATTTTAAGAAATTTGAGAAAATTCTTGGCAGAGCTCTAGGTTATTTTAGTTATGCAATTTATCTACTTTGTCTGGGCAGTAAAGAGCTATCTGTATCTATATCACACTGTACATACACACATACATACATATGCTGTCTGTGCTTTTTTTGTAAAAAAAAAAAAAAAAAGGTGCCAGGATTCACACACGTCATACAACCCGTCTTGCCTACCCTACAAGGTTCCAGAACTCTGTTCTGGGTGTTTTATGACAAAAAAGCGCTATATACTGTACAAATGTTTATGCATACACATACACTAATTTTATTATCAACGGTCCCACAATGCTAAATGTATTCTGGAAGAATCATTTCTTTACTAATTATAGAGGCCATGAAAGCAAACTCAGCCTAGTCCCACGGGATAGGCTGTTTCATAGGGGGATCCCTCACAGAGAATTCTTGCCACCAGGCCTCCTCTCATCGTGCTTATTAACAGATGGAGATCCTTGATAGGTGCTCCCTGGCCATATAAGGCTTTAAAAGCAGTGGTCGGTAAAGCTATACAACTGGAGGTTATCAGCATGCTAATTTCAATTTCATTTGGTGCATGGCATCTCACAACACCTTCATGAAAATACTAAACAGGAAAAAGGAAAGGCCTAAGGCCTTATAGTACTCATATAAGAAAATATTTGAGGTTTACTTTAGTCGCCTTCCACAATTCCTGGACATGCACTAAGATTGGAGTGGAACCACTGTAATCTGGCACCTCCAACTCTCAGTGGTTAACAAATACTGAGAAATCTAGGAGGACAAGGTTGATTACACTCCTTCCATTCAAGTCCTATGAAAGTCCCATTTGGGACCAATATGATTTCCGCATCATATCAAAGTCTGAATTCAAACTACCATGAATACAGACAAACTTTGGCCCTGGCACTTTTTCCACAAAAGCAGACTTTGAGGACAGGATAAGTTACCCATTTCTGTTGGATTCAGGACTGGTTTCTTGAACAGTGGAAAACTGGTATCTCTGCTAGAGTTACTCTTCCCTCAAAGAAGCATTGATTACATTCTGAAACCAATTCACAGTCCCCCCCCCCCGGTGATATTCATTAGTAAGGGTCCAATCCACATGTGGCAGAGCTTAGATCACAGAGACCTCTGTCCACTCTTAGATCGCAGAGAATTCTGTCCTTGGATATGCAAAGGATGAAAGTTATTCCAGGTATCATCGTATAGGGTATCACCTCTGTAGATTCTATCCATCCAACTTCCATCTTGGAGTGAATACAATTTCGGCTACTGCTAGAGATAAGTCAAGATGGAGAGTATTTGTCCATGAAAGCATTAGGAGTTGAGCCTGACTTGATGGTATCTATACTTAATTAATTGACAGATGAATTTATAACAACACAAGATGAATTTACAACAACAACAACTACAACTTTGATAAATGTCAAATATAATAATTTTTATTTTAAAACTGAAAACTGTAGAATTGAAACATGAGAATATGAAAGAAATACTGGATTTTCAAGATCAAGTCAATGACCTTCAGAATTTCCTTGGAACCACAAGAATTAGAAGTCATTATTTATTCACTGAACACATTTATATAGCTGCTCATCTAATTAAGATATTCTGGGCAGTGAAGAGAAATAAAAACATCATCCAAAATGTACAAATCCATTAAAGGAAACCTAGATTGAGGCCCACTATTGGCATATTAAATATGGCCATGGCTATGCTAGAGTTCCATTAACATCTTAAACTCAGTGTCTGGAGTAAAGGATGTTTTCATGGCCTTCTGGATAGCTATCAGGTCAATGCTGTCCATATCTCGGGGGAGACTGATCCCCCGAGGATATTATGACCCAAAGCATGCTCACTCTCTTATCTGGTGAGATCAGTAAAAAACATTGGGATTCTACAAGTAACCTGGCATCATGCTATTCAGGGCTTTAAAGGTTACAACCAAAACTCTGAATTGCACTTGGAAGCCTACTAGGAATCAGTGTAGCTCATGTAGCCTTGTCAGTTGGGTGTACTATGACACCCAATAGTGCATGTGCTAATGAATTCCACATCAATTGAAGCTTCTGAATGCTTTTCAAGGGCAATCCACATAGACTGTAATGTAGTAGTCTAGTGATACAATTGGTCCACAAGATATATTTGTGAGAATATATTGCTGCCAGCTGCTCCTTGAACAGGACCTGACTGATCTAGAGTCTTAACTGCATTATTAGCTATCTTCTCTGGCATAGAGGTTAATGTGAAAGATGTAGTTCTACATCTTTCACATTACAATTCTACATCTACAATTATTGAAATGTCACTTTCTAGATCAGTGATTTTCAACCTGTGGATCAGGACCCATTTGGGGTCGAACGACCATTTCACGGGGGTCGCCAAACAACACAGTCCGCCATTTTTTCCCCTTTTCCTTAGCTGTGCTACTCCCTTTTATTCTATTGGCTTTTGAAAGCCAATAGAATAGACTCTCTTGAATAGAGTCTAATTCTATTGGCTTTCAAAAGCCAATAGGAATTGTCCAGGCTGTCTCTGCCCTGCTGAGCCTGCCAAAAGTCTCATTCTGCAAACGGTGCTGCACCAGTTGAGTAGTCCTCAACTTATGACCAGTTGAGTAGTCCTCGACTTACGACCAGTTGGGGGTCGCGGCATTAAAAAGGTTGAGAACCACTGTTCTAGATGTTTGCAAGATATTAATGAAAAAAAATATCAAATAACTTACTACTGGTACTTATATCTCAAATTAATATATAAAATATGAAAAATATTAAGCATAATTTATGGCAAAAGTAGGAAAACTATACTAGACTTGTGTTTAGAATTCAAACTACTTCTACACTGAATTACAAACTGTAATTTCAATATAGTTTCATTGTCTTATTAATAGCTCACAGTATGTAGTATAATACAAACACAGTTGGCACTGGAATTTTGCAGACATTAAGTGAATCATCAAATGACCAAACCCAATTTTATTACCATTTTTAACACAATTAAGTGAAATTCAGTTATTAAGTGAATCCACTTTCCTGCTGACTTTACTTGTTGGAAACCAGCTGAGAAAGTAGCAAATCGCAATTATGTGACCACAGCACACTGCAGTGTTATCAATGTGAGCCAGATGCCAAGCACCCAAATTGTGATTAAATGATCACAAGTCACTTTTTTGAGTGCCATCATAATTTCAAACTATTGTTAAACAAATACTCATAAAGTTGAGGACTATGTGACATACAATGATTCAAAGCATAGCAAATTTTAACTTGCTCCGTATGTCCCAACTCAGATCATTTACAAATTGCAGTTTGTGAAAATTTTTAATGTATTCTTTCAGAAGTACATTATTCTACCATAGCTGCCTTAATCTATTATACCACTTGGGACAACCACACACTTGTATTCTGATCGTTCATTCTACTTCTTTCATTCACACTTTATTCAGCACTGTCTTTAAAAGGCAAAGTAAAGCCAAAATAATTTTTTTAATTATATTGGAGATTTTTCTCTGATATAAAACTCAATGGAGAAAAGGGATACCTTGAAAAGAAGCAACTGTATAAATTAGGAATGATATCTCCAAAATAAGGACTATACCTTGAAGGAAGAGCACTTGAAAAGGAAATTATTCAATGGCACATTGCTATTGGGGTATCATCCTCCTTATTAAACACGTTTAGGAAGAAAGTAGAATGAGTAGTAGATAGCTCGAACAGATAATAAGAGCAAAGACCTGCCTGGAAGAATGGAAGGAGAGGTGAGATCAACTGGAAGGGGAGGTGCTATAGCTCTTCTGACTCTGGGGGCTCAGCGGATTGCGAGAGCCTGGCTACCACCCGGGTCAAAGCCCTGTTTTCGGCCAGCAGTTGCTCATTCATCTGTCTCAAAGTGTGAATCTGTTTGAGCTGATGAAGGTTCTGTAAAGTGAGACATGGAGGAGATAGACAAAGACAAAACAGAATATAAAAAGCACAGAAACGTGAATTTAATTGACAAGCGTGAGGAAAAAAAAGAGCAGCAATGAGAGGTGGACAGCAGTGAAATTGCAAAAGAAACTCAACAACACACTAAAGTGTTAGAAACACTGAAAAGAAGCCAAAGAGGCTGTTCCTTCTGCTCACTTTTCAAATTTAAGGGTAAATTTATCATCATGAAATAAACAATTTTGTAGCTCTAAATGCAATTATAGAGACAGTTTGGGGAAGCGTTTAAGACAACATGCTAGAAATCCAGAGACCATGAGTTCAGGTCCTGTCTTAGGTACAAAGCCAGCTGGGTGACTCTCTCAGTCCTAGGAAACAAGCAATGGCAAATCATTTCCAAACAACCTCATCAAGAAAACTGCAGATTACCTAGGCTGTTGTCAGGAGTTAAAACTGGCATGTGCACATGCATACACATATTCACCAACTTGATTATACATGTAACAGGCATCACGGCAATTCTAGGCATAAAATTTTTCCCACTGTCAATTAATGAAAGTTTGTCATCTAAGAGCTGGATACAAAAGTTAAGTGTCTTCATGAATCTCTTCACCTGACTCTTCCCATCAAAATCGTCTTTGTATATTAAAGGAGCAAGAGCCAAAAAGTATCAGAACATCTAGCAATATTTGAAAAGGAGAGTGAATTTGTACAAGTTAGTGATTCTCTGAAATCTTTCACAAATACAACCTATCAGTTTGTCTATGCTGTGCTTTATAATGCCCTTTTCAGTTAAACTGTTCAAACACTAGGCATCATTTGTTGAATCTTTTAAAACGCAAAATTTCCATTTTAAAATATGTGAATATTTCTACCAACTTTATTAAGAAATACAAATAAAATTTAAAACCTTTATTTTCTTCAAAAAATATCTATTGTAATAAAGAGATTTCTAAGTCTATTTCTTTTCTTTTTTTTAGAATTTTAGAAAATTTAGTTTAGGATATAACCTTTATATAAGAAACCATATTTTAAAAAGGAGATATGTTCAAATATATTCAATATATTTTCTCTAAAACAGTATGGAAGTTGGAATAAAAGGTGAAAAAATTGAATAATTCAAGCAGTATATAATTAGGCCACTAAACCTGTCTATGACAGATTTGTGTTTTCTTAAGAAAATGTAAGATTATTTGTCTAATAAGTCAAAATGTAAATGAGGCAGAATGCAGAAATGAACAAAATAATTTAAAAGGTACTATAATTATATTCCCTAGCATATTAATGCTAAAATTATTCTGTTGAAAAACTGAATGTTTACGCCCCAAAATACAGGATAAATATATCCTTGTAATAACAATTACCAGAGAAATCACTATACAGTAAATCTAACACAGTAATTTTGCTTTTGGTGTTTTTTTTGAGTTGATTAAAATAGTTTATAAGGGCATGTAGAAGCAATCAGTTTCCAAATTACAAATCATAACTGTAATTAGATTAAATTATAGGCTCCTCCTCTTTATTATTTCTGCAATTTCAAACACATTAACTAAATCTCGCTCCATATATAGCCACTTTATTTCATACTCCTAGAATTTCTCAGTCAGCCATGTTTTAGGCTAATCTTCAAAGCCACTCATGTTCAGCAAAAATGCATCTGAACATTTGTGTTTCTTACTCTTATATTTTTAAAACACTCTCTATTCTAACCAGGAATATAAATTTTGCCAAGTATATGGTCAGATAAGAGATAGCATAGCTCACAGCTGGATGGTGGGGGAGGCAAGAGGCTCAGAAGAGACTTTTCTTAGGCTGTAATGGAGATGGGGGGGATTATACTTTCAGTCTTGCAAGATAGATCTGGGCTTTGCAGAGTAGATCAGATAGGAATCACAACCAGATTAACTAATTCTACTTCATTTAAAGTTACATTGCCAAAATCTTGCAGATCTGAAAGAACAATTTTTTTGAGCCTCTTGCCCCACCTACGAGTCACCTGCTGTCTCTTATCTGATCATTCCCTTGGCACCATCTTAGCCTAATCTCCCAAGGTCTTTTCTGCAATGTATTTATGAAAGAATACATTCTGCAATGTATTCTGCAATGTATTTATGAAAGAGATTCATTTTCCTGTTGGGTGAAGACAGTATATAAATCTGCCATGCTCTCAAATCTATTGAAATTAAAGGGAAAAAACCTGGTTTTAGCTGGAATTTGCAACCCTGAGAAGGAGGGCAGGGCATGAGCTTTTTGTTTGTCAACTCCTCCTCCTTCCCACCACAATTTTAGCTCACCTTTATTTTGATAGATAGTTAATACATATTAAAAGGTAGCAGTTTTTTAAAAAATCTGTTTTATATGTACTGGCAGCCAATTTTATTTATCATGCGTATCTCCCAACTTTGTATTAAATGAGGAACTGTATGAGAGGTTTTGAATAGGAGAGAAACTAAATTAATTCTCTCCTACTCTAAATAAGTTTTAAAAGCACCCTGCACTACCTCTGAATGTTTCAGAATTTTCCTTTGAAACTGTGGCTTGCACAAATTAGAAAAGTCATACTCTATTCTGAGGTAAAACACTGAAGCACAAATGGTTAAAATCACAATATATATAGCTCAGTAATCTTGTTCCTATTATGCTGACAAGTGTAACAAATAGCCTTAAGTGTTTTGTAACACAGTTTACATTTTTATGTCTCTTTGTAAGTGAGCTGCAGACACTAAGAAAAAAAAGTTGGAATGTGATTCAAAAGTGAGCTTTTTGAAAGCTTGATAAGCCTAAATAAAACAGCAGCATTGGCAAGACTGAGGTACAATGTAGGTATATTTGCTATATTAAGTCAAGGTGACTGTAGTATAAAAAGAAGTGCAGACAAATACAGCATATGATACAAGAATGCATGTCATTCAAAAAACGTAGACATAATGAAAATGATCTCTATTATTCATTCTCTGTCTCTTTCTGTCTGTCTCTCTCTTTCTCTCTGTCTCTCTCTCTGTCTCTCTCTCTCTCTCTCTCTCTCACACACACACACACACACACACACACACACACACACACACAAGTGGCAGACCACCAATGGAGACTGTATTTGTTTAAAAAGTTGCCTCAATAAATAACTCATGAATAAGGCCATCGGCGGCTTTCATAACTCCACACATACACATTGTGTGCGTTAAAACACTCCAACAGAGTCAGTTTCACAGCTATATACTTCATCTCTCATTAGTAAGAGGTGAAATGTCCACATTTACAGTAGGTTATTTTAAATCTTTTTTTTAGAAAAAAAAAAGAATTTGTTAGTTATACCAACACAGTAGGAAGGCACAATGTAACAATAACTGCATTCTAATATTTCTTCTAATATTGCACATTATCAACAATAGATCAAATGCATTCCCATTTCTGTTCTTTTAATAGTTCATCTATAAATACATTCAGTCATGTGGAATGATCATACCTAGCTAGGTGATGCAGCCCTTCTCTTGAAGCTGGACTGCAATGTGAACTACTGAAATGTTTTCTTTTAAAGAGACAGAGTACAATTTAAATGGAGCTCAGCTTCAAAAAATAATCACACAGTAAAATCAGTTTAAGTGTTTCCATGAAAGGTTATTCTGAAACTGGAACTATCCCCAATAGGTCAGGAATTTGCTTTCCCCACTATCATGTTTTTAGAGGTTCAGGAATTCTTATTCTTGAAACAGAAATATTTCAGAAGCCAAGCAAATCTGTAATTCCTTCTTATATAATAGGAAAATAAGCACCAGGAGACAGACAAACAAAACAAAGGCACAGAAATGTCTATTGTGCAGACAAGCAGTGTTATCCTGTAAAATCAGTTTTACATTATCAGGCCACTAAGGACAGCATAACAAACATATCATCTGACTTCAGCAATCAGAAATTGCTATAACAGGAGAATGACAGTTTTTCAGAGCAGGTGTTTGGAGAGAGGGGTATCAAGCAAGAGGAGCTACTTTAGAGGGCAATTTCTGCTCCAACCACTCAAGCACTACCTAGCTTTTTGTTAAGTCTGAAAAGAACTGAAAGCCCAATAAAGAAACAAGAAAACCAGAAGCCTGACAATAGCTGACCTATCAATGAATCCACTAATATCAAGAGACTTTTTCCCAAATTGTGACATGGAATAGGCATATTTCAAGACTAGGGCTGAAGATGAGTGAGAGAAACTAATTTTCAAGAAGTCAATGAATTATGCAGGAATAACTTGTTCCTTTGGGATCAGATCTACAACTTGGTAGTTCGAGACTTGAGTGCTGTGAGACAGAGTGAGCTCCTGTTACTTGTTGAACCTAGCAGTTTGAAAGCATGTAAATGCGAGTAGATGAATAGGTACTGCATATAAGCATGTGGTAATGCTGCATATAACAGTATTTTATGTTTAGCCATATGCTTTTTGCAACAGCATGATGTCATGATGGCCAAATGATTGTGGAAATGTCTCTTGACAACACTGGCTCTTTAGCAGAGATAAGCACTGTCCCCTAAAGTCAGTCACAACTAGTGAGGTAAAATCCATGGGGAAATATTTACCTTTACCTTTTTAATAGTCCCTTTGGAAGAGGCAATGGATAAAGGATTGTTTTGTTTTGGTGGACCTAAAAGTTTGAGTGATCTTTGAAAAAAATATTGATGCGCTTCTATGGTTTTGTGAGCAGCTGGTTCCATCATAAAACAACATGTTTTAACATGGCCATTTTGGTCAGATAACTTAGAGAGTATAAAGGTTGATAAAAGTTGCTATGTAAGGATATTCTGTGTAAGATTCCTACATTTCCAAAGGCTAGGGTTCATGAAGGTTGGAATTCTTAAGATTATTTATAGAAACCTTCAGGGAATTTTCATGGCTAATTAAAGAAAAAAATCCTCAATTTATGCCAAAGTCTCAGAAGTAGATATACTTTGAGAAGAGTGGACTGGCATCTCCAGTAGTGACATGAAAGCCCTTGATACTTTTCCCATTCACAAGAGAGAGGGTTACAGATCAAGTGTACCTCTGTCAAAAGCTACTGGCTGGAAAACAGGTGGAAAGGTAGGCAGACATTTCTAAAGACAGCAAAGGGACAACATATAACCTTTGTCATCATGACTTCTGTTTGGTAGTTCTGGTAGTTTCATTTTGTACAAATCATGGACATTATTTATCACAATATTACTAAAACATTTTCAACATCTCAGTTTGTCTCTGGTCCCAATTCAAAGATGCAGATTTTAACTGTAGAGAATCTGTGGGAGGTACTTACTAAAGTGCAGCCCTATGACTGGGAAGATTAAATTTCCATTATGACATATGGCCAGTTGCTGTTTCTTAATTCAGTCCACCTAATAGGTTATTGTAAGGGCAAATAAAGAAGATTCGTACATAAAGTGCCTTGAACTGAAGAAAAGGTGGAATAAAATGTGAGATGATATATTGGAAAGAAGCCTGTTTTTACATGTTCCTATTCACATGATTAAATCTGAGACTTTGCTTAAGATACCATCCTTGCTGAGATATATACTAAATGAGCAATCTTGGAATAGAACTTTGTCATGGTGGTCTCTTTATTATAAGCAGCTGCTACTTTATTATAACATTTTAACATTTTTGCTGTAACAGAACTTTATAAATTATATTCTTTCTACTATTTTATAGTTCCACTTTTAATTATGCTTTTAGTTTCAGTTTGTATATTTTCAGTTTAAATTTTAGATTTGTTTTTAAAGTTTTGTAAACTGCCCTGGGAAAATTTATTTTGAAAGGTGGATTATGTACTTATCAAATATATAAATGTATACATTAGCATTTTATAATTATGGTGAGGTTGGTTGACATGGAATTTAAAAATGTGATTCTAAGAAACACACTTTGAAGCCTCCCAACTCTCTGAATTCTCAGAGATATTCTATTCCACATAAAATCTGAGGTAGGGATCCTTATTCTGGAATCATGCTTCATCCAAAATAAGTGTTCATGACTTTCTTACATAATTACCAATTGTGCATTTAATTTACGCAGTAATTAAGGATAGAGAAATACACGTAGCAAAAGAAATTCAACTAAACATCATCAGTAATAATTTCAGAAGATACAATAAACTTCTTGCAAGGAAATGTTAGATATTGGCTCTGTTAAGTGTCAAAACCTTTGAGACTTTAAGTTTTAATATATTGATACTAGGTTAAAAAGTTCAAACTACATTATTCTCATATATTGTAATATGTACCAAATTTACATATGAATAATTGCAGATACTAATCCTGGATATCTGTAGAGTCATAGTAATAATAAATGTTAATACATATACACACACATGTATGTGTATATGTAAGATCACATAACAATCACTTTCAATGTTTCCCAAGTGTAGTAGCAATTTTCCGATGTGTGGCCTTTAGTACCCAGAATTTGCCTGTAAGCACAGCCATTGTTACTGGGAGTTGAAAGCCATACATCTGAAAATTACCAGGATTGGGAAACATTAATCGAGGTGAAGAAACCACCTACATTATTTAGTAACTTCTCTATCTTTCAAAATACACAAAATGATTATTCATATTTAATGGATTTAAAATTATTGATAAAAAGTTTTCCTTTACCATGTAATAGCACTACAATCTTGCCTTAAAGTTGCAATTCTTATGACTCTTTTGAATACATATGCTTAAAACAGTAATATTTAAGACTTATTTTAATCTTTCATCTACTGTTGGTTTTTGGAAACAGCTTCTTGTTTATTAGCTGTTTATTTCTTAAATTTATACATATTTATAGCTCTACAAGTAGAAAAACTATTGTATTCCAAGGGAACACTTTTTCACTAAAAATATAGAAAACATTTTTGATAATATGAACTGATCTTCCCAGTGTTTCATATTAAAAGAATCAATCAAATAGGAATAAAAGCTTTCATTTTTATAAATCATAAGAATTCAGGTATATCCAAAGGCAAGGCATTTGAGAAAGGAATATAATAAGAAAGTAGGCCAATATTAGAAAGGCTTGGAAGGAATCCTTAGTAGCCAGATTTGAACACAATGCAGGCATAGATAACAACATTTTGGCAAAAATGCTGCAGAATAGATTGCATCAAAACTTGGAAGAAAAATATTAGAAAATGCTTCCAACTCAACCGGAAAAGTATGAGGATACCTGTTAGCCAGCACTGCTGTTTTGAATGAGTGAATTTAGTTAGAAGATTTAAACAAGATTTTAATTATGATTAATTCTATTCCTACATGGCAATTTGGATTTAGAAGATGGCAAACAAATGATACATTTTCATACCTTCATCTCTTCTTCCATTTCAGAAAGCTTCCGTTCAAGGGCTCGTTTTTCCTGTTCAGGAAATATTTTCACAGTGATCATCTTTCATGAGATTTGAGAAAGTACAATAAATCTCATAGGCTTAAGGGTTTTCAAACACAATATAGTCTTACTCCAAGGCAAAAATCCCCTCTGTGCCATATAATACTTCCCGTTTCTCAACTCTTTTTCATTATCCTTTCTTGTTTCTTTCAACCCCAACTTCGAATAGAAACAGTAGCTGTATTCTTTCAATTTTTGATTCTATTTATTTCGTCACATAAGAGCACATTAGGATGAAATCAAATTTCCATACATCACTAACAGATCATTTTTCTGTACTTAGATAACAAAAATGACATGGCAAAGGGCCAAAATCTTGCCCCAAACAATTAAGATATTTTATTTAAATAATGGGAGCTATGCACTGGACATACCATTCCATAGCAAACAATGCCGATACCACTGACTCCCAACAACCAACATCCATCTTTTTTTTTTTCCAGAGAATAGCAGCAAAAAAGAAAGGGGATGGTTATAATTAATTTACGGCCAATAGAGTTTTAATTTCATTTTGGTAAGATTGGCTGTTAGGCACTCTACAAGACTATTAAAAGTCTTATGTATTGATAGGGCTTGGAAGAAACAGAACTTTGTTACTGATTAGGCTTGATAACGATTATATAACATATATGTGTTTCGCCTGAAGATCTGAACCACAGGTAGTCCTTGACTTACGAACACAATTAGGACAAGTAATTTTGGTCATAAGTCGAGTCACCATGGTATAAATCCAGCTTAACCAACAAAAATTGGCAAAAAAAGTCTGAAAATGTGATCAGATGTAGGTGGGACACTGCAATTGGTTGTAAATGTGCACTTGTTGCCAGTCAAATTGTGATCATGTGACTAGGGATGAAGTGATGATTGTAAGTTTCAATTTAGGTGATAACTGACATTTTTAGAGCGATCGTTAAATAGTTGTTAATCGAGGACTACCTGTATGCTGAAAAAGTTTTTTTTTAAAAAAAACTATTATCCTCAAAAGTAACTCTTTCAAGTAATTAGAATATCAGATATTAATGTTGATATTTTTTTCAACATATTTTTAACAATTCTGAAACAACAAATTATTCTTACTTCAAATTTTCAAAATCAAAATGAAATCAATAAATACTCTATTTATTATATAGCATTAACTGCCATACAATGAGAGCAATGTCTAGTCATATATATTATTAGATTTATCATACTGCAAAATCCAGGCAGTTATAATGAATTCTTTAAAAAATAAAGTGCTTTAAAGTTAATAAACATATGGGTAAGCTAGTCTGAGAGCTTGTTGTCTAAGCATAAGTATCAGGTACCATTTCTTGAGGGCAGGGCCATATTCTCCACCACCCCAAAACAATTAGGAAAGCGATTTCTAGCCTTCCTTCCATGCATTACATTACAAATTATGAATAAGGGTAGAAAAGGAGCCAAAGAAGAGAACGAGTCAGATTTCTGGACTAGTGATACTTTGGATGCTTTATTGAACAATTTAAGTGGTGTATCAGTGAAAAGTTGAATCTTTTTTTATATAAGTTCACCAATTAGCCAAAGAAATGGTAGATTTTCCCCTCCATCATCTTTTTTGAACCAGGTGAAATTTACTGGGCCTCTACCAGTTTCCCCTTCTAGCAAAGTGACAAGAATGCAAAAATGGCTCTTCCTTCTTTCCTTATTCACCATTAGTCACACTATATAAGAAGGGAGAATAGAAGGGTGAGTTGGTAGAAGGTGCTCCCACGAAATATCAGAAGAAACAGTGAAAAAGAAAGTGATTGGTATTTTCTTTTCTAGTCTGGATGGAAGGTATAAAGAAGGAGGGGAATCCACCAATGGGCAGCCATGGTAAGCTGATTCTGATAGAACACCATGCTGTCAACATAAAACAAAGGAATGAAATCCAGAAAGCAATTTCTTAAGCTGCCTTCATTTGCAGTTTACAGAGAGGAGCCAAATATCGTAGGATGGAGTACAGAAAAATTCTGAGAATTCAAATAAGTAACTTCAGGAGCCAGGTATTATCCAGAAATAATTGGATGCTTTTGGAATCTTTTGCTAGGAAAAGAATAATATTTCTGTTTTGCTTTGTTTTTCAGAGTGTTTATGCAATCCAAGTAGATTCTGAAAACCCATAAAGACTTACCCTTTTTTCCATCTCAAGCATGCTTGAACGATCTGAGCTTTTCTCCAGTTTCTGCTATTGAAAACAAATAAAAAACTTTGTTGCAAAGAAATATTTTTGCAGTATTGTTTAAAACAATAATCAAGTATTTATCAGAAATCCAGACTATACATATATTATTGCACTTAGTGTTTTTTCAAGTACTATTAATTCTCTTATCAACAATAATAAACACTTTTTATTTTCCTAGTTGTTTTTTTCAGTACATCCCTGATTTCCTAGAATTTCTTCACCTGATTTAGTTTGTCCATTTTTGACTTAATATCTGTGAGTTCCACCTGGGCATCTTGCAGTTTAGATTTCAGTTTCTGATTTTCAGACAGGGCACTCTCATACATCTAAACAGAAAAAAACAAAAATGGAATTATACCTCAGTATTAGATAATATTCCATCTACTGAACAATCGATGGTGACATACTGGACAATGATGGTTTGCAAGACTTGCTATTTCAGATCCTCTAGCAAAGCAAGTTTTATTGCAGCTCATTTAATTTTCAGCCAACATCTTCAGGTAACTGCAGAATTTCATGACAGTCCTGCATCACTCCAGGCATATCCTTTTAGTTCATGTGGAATGAAAGTACAGTCTGGAAGTACTTCTCATAGCAATACTTTGAATTTTACCAGATAAAATTCAGTTTAAAATGATTGTTTGTAAATTATTTGCAATTTGCAATATTTCATATAACATGTTGAGACTCTAGAAAGAGTACACAGAGGAGCAACAAAGATGATTAGGGGACTGGAGGTTAAAACATATAAGGAAGGGTTATTGGAATTGGGTATGTCTAGTTTAATGAAGAGAAGGACGAGGGGAGACATGATAGCAATGTTCCAATATCTCAGGGGCTGCCCCAAAGAAGAGGGAGTCAAGCTATTTTCCAAAGCGCCTGAAGGCAGGACAAGAAGCAACGGGTGAAAACTAACCAAAGAGAGAAGCAACCTAGAACTAAGGAGAAACTTCCTGACAGTTAGAATAATTAACCAATGGAACAACCTGCCTCCAGAAGCGGTGAATGCTCTAACACTGGAAGTTTTTAAAGAAGAAACTGGACAGCCATTTGTTCGAAATGGTATAGGGTTTCCTGCCTGAGAAGGGGGTTGGACTTGATAACCTCCAAGGTCCCTTCCAACTATTATTATTATTAATAATAATAATCATCATCGCACAGTCAGCCAGATGTTCAGACTGGATTTGGCATTTTGTCTACCTATGGATACCATTCCACACCCACCTATTTGCTTTGGTAGATAAAGTCTGTCAATGTCACTGCGTAGATGAAGGGCATGATTCATTGTCATTATTTTTCTGGTCTTCCTATCCATTGCTTTTAGTTCTGCTTGAGTCCAGTCCACTATTATTATTATTATGGATCATCGCACAGTCAGCCAGATGTTCAGACTGGATTTGGCATTTTGTCTACCTATCGAGTCCTTACCCAGGACCTGGGATAGGCAGATGTGGATGTTTGATGGTATTACAGATATCGTCGCAGATGGAAGCAGTTCCTAGTAAGGCCGCCTTTTGCAATTGACTAATAGTGAATTTGTCAATGCCAATGGTGTTCAAGTGGTGCTCCAGTTGTTTTGGGATTGCACCCAAGGCGCCTATGACTATTGGTACTACCCTTGCTTGCTTTTGGCACAGTCTTTCTATTTCTATTTGTAGGTCTTTGTATTTTGTTATCTTCTCCAGCTCTTTCTCGTCTATTCTGCTGTCTCCAGGCACTGCCACGTCCACTATCCAGACTTTTTTGTCTTTGTTATCGACAATTGTTAAGTCTGGGGTGTTATGTTGCAGGTGCTTGTCTGTTTGAATTCTGAAGTCCCAGAGCAGTTTAATTTTATCATTTTCTATGACTTTCTCTATTTTCTGATCCCACCAGTTTTTGCTTACAGGCAAATGATATTTTTTGCAGATCTTCCAATGCACCATTGTTGCTACTTTGTCATGCCGCTGCTTGTAGTCAGTCTGTGCAATCTTCTTGCAACAGCTTACCAGGTGGTCCACTGTTTCTTCAGCTTCTTTGCATAGGTGGCACTTACTGTCTGTTGCTGTCTTCTCTATTTTGACTTTATATTATTATTATTATTATTATTATTATTATTATTATTATTATTATTATTATTATTATTACTATTACTATTATTATTACTACTACCACTACTATTATTATTATAGCTATTGATCTTCCAAGTAAATTAAATATATGTTCAAATGCAGCTTGGAAAATTCTTTAAAAAATTAGACATTATATTCAAATTTTACACCAACATTTTCTTATTCCATACAAAGGGAAAGGAATCAAAGTCAACAACTCCATGGAAAAGGCAAACTTAGGAACGCAAATACAGTTATTTGTAATATTGTCCAGACATGTCATTAAATCTATTTGAAGCTGGACTTTAACATCATTTCTGTCTTTTGTTGGGGCTTTGAATCTGTATTATTTCATTGGCTTCTTCATTGCTTTCCAGCTACATTTGAAACTGCTTGTATTAACTGATAAGAAAAAAACAGTGGGGAAGAAAAGAAGGGCTTGATATAATTTTATCTAGTGATACAAAAAGGGCAGTGTAGGAACTGGATATGGCCTGGAAACATCTTTTTTGCAATTCCCAAAGACCTCCAAGTGGGTAAGCTAAATATTTTGTATTTTGCTTTGGGAAAGCTTAAGAGCAAAATAGGCTTAACCACTTGCCTCCCGTGACACCTGATTCCCTTGGTATGTGGCTATTGAGATAATGAGAGAAGCCTAGTGCAGGCATCAAATGAAAAGAAAGAAAAAGAAAAGAATGGCCCACCTTTTTGTAATCCTTGATACTATCATCTTCTGTTCTGTTGCTCAGAGCGGCTCTTCTGGTATAGGCACTACTGCGGCCTGAGGGTCGATCACTAGAGGTATCAATAGTGCCAGTGTTTGAACTTGCTGAATCCAGCCTGAAGTTAAATATAGTTTAAAGCAGGTTCATTCACTTTCAAAACCATTTACAACTTTAGAAAAAAAAAGTTTTTATAGAAGAGATACCCAACGCAATGACAGAATAATAACAAACTACTAAAAATATTTACCTTTAGCCTAATATGTGTAAAAGTGAAATAAAGAAAGTTCATTCAAAACTGACAGGAGAATATTATATTTGAAAGGCAAAGGAATTCAGATGAGAGGTGACCATACTGGTCAGATAAAAGATGGTAGTCTTGAAAACAAATATAAGGCCTCATGGGTATAGTTCCATAAGCAGTTAAGAAGAGGCAATTCATTTGGAATACTGATATGTATGTTTGTATGTTTCTATGTGTGTATGTGTGTGTGTGTATACACATACACACTTAATAACTGTAAAAATCTGAATCCCAGGCATCTCTATTCAATACTACACAATCTTTGAACTCCGGGATAAATATAAATCAGCTGTTTATTGTTAAAAAATTTAAAACAATAAAAACAACTATTTACAATGTTAAAACAAACTTAGCTTTCGCTGGTCCACTTCCAGCATCTTCAGAGTAAAGCACTGGGGTGGAGAAAGATCTCTTATAAGCCTTGCTAACCTAGTTTTTTACACATTGACCACGTCGTCCTAACTGACCGTAATTGCCTTAAATGTCCCACCTCCCCTTGTTTGCACTCCAGTTCTACAACTTCTCTCTCTCCCCTCCTTATCCTTCCTCTCCTTCCTGGTGCTGTTACTGTTGGTATGCCTACTAACCACTCCCCCGCACTCACTTTGGGCCGTGGATCCGAGTCCAGTATCCCAAGTGCCCTTACACTGCTGTTCCCATCTCCTCCATTCCATTTGTCTGTCTGTTGTTCTTATCCTCCACTATCTGTCATCATGAGGAGGAGGGGGAGGGACGGGGGGGCACATTAACGACAACGGCATCAGGAAGGAGAGGGAGTGAAGCGGAGGGGGGGCATAGGTGAAGGAGGGAAGAGAATAGGGGTTGGCAGTATGCTTGCACATGCAAGCATGGAGAAGGATCGGAAGAAATAGGGCCCATAAGGATAGTGAGGGGAAGGCAAGAACAGCGGATGGATCAGTGGGTAAGAAAGAGAGGAGGGGTAGCAGTGGAGGAGCACCAGCAGTGCCAACTTTGAGCGCCCAGCCCAGAATGATTGCAAGGAGACAACCGGTGGATGCAAGGATAGGACTGGCAGAGATGAGAGGGAGTGAATTCAGGAGTGAGCTGGCAGGCAGCCCAGCTGATCTCACAGAGATGGGACGAAAGGACGGGGTAGAGCTGAAAGCACGCCCACCCAGACATGAAGGGAAACGGGAGAAAAGAGGACTCATGATGACAAATAGTGGAGGACAAGGACAACAGACAGACAAATGGAATGGAGGAGAGGGGAACAGCAGTGTAAGGGCACTTGGGATACTGGACTCGGATCCATGGTCCAAAGTGAGTGCGGAAGAGTGGTTAGTAGGCATACCAACAGTAACAGCACCAGGAAGGAGAGAAAGGATAAGGAGGGGAGAGAGAGAAGTTGTAGAACTGGAGTGCAAATAAGGGGAGGTGGGACATTTAAGGCAATTACGATCAGTTAGGATGAATGGCCCTATCATGCGGTCAATGTGTAAAAAACTAGGTTAGCAAGGCTTATAAGAGATCTTTCTCCACCCCAATGCTTTACTCTGAAGACGCTGGCAGTGGACCAGTGAAAGCTAAGTTTGTTTTAATATTGTAAATAGTTGTTTTTATTGTTTTAAATTTTTTAACAATAAACAGCTGATTTATATTTATCCCGGAGTTCGAAGATAGAGATAGAGAGAGAGAGAGAGAGAGAGAGAGAGAGAGAGAGAGAGAGAGAGAGAGAGAGAGAGATGCATGCTCTAACAAAAGCATAAATTCTGAAAATCTTACCTGGAGAGCCTTTCATGCTGTAAATAGAGATAAAAGAAGCTCAGATTAGCAATAGCAATAATAGTTTTAACATTATAGCTGGAAAGCTGGAAATATGACGATTATGAAAGTAAATGACAAATAACTATACCATAAATCCAGCAGGGCAGTAGCTCTGGAACTTATCGAGAAACTCTTTGAACTATTTTAAAATATTGCAAAATAACTGCAGCCTAGGAGTTAAACATCTTTCTTAAACATACCAATAACATCAGGATGACCCTGGTTAGACTAAAGTATCAACACGAACTTTAAAGAAAGTGTTTATATGGAACATATTTATATTAAATAAATGCAGAAGTGTAGTATTATCTGAAGCTCTTTTTATAATGTTGAATTCTCATTCTTATATGACTAACTAGCATAGACAGTCCTATATTTAGGCATTTGTTATTTGTTACATTCAAGCACAATATTCTTTCAGGAGATCTAATGTCTAATGCCAAAGATTTTTCCTTAAAAAAATCTATGAAAAGAGTATTTGTCAAACTAAGTGGTTTGTTTTCACATTAATTACATAAATTACAAAAAAATCTGTGAGCATTTATGTACAGGAAAAATCTTTAAGCACATGCAGAGATATTAAACTATATACATCTGACAATAGGCATTTCTCTTTACTACTTAATTCTGAGATTCTGTTTTTATATTTATCAAGTCTTGATGTAACTTTTTAAATCCGAATTTATTTTGACTGCATTTTTTCAGTATCGATCTTTAAAAAAATCACATGCTCTCTGTTTCATATGGAAATTGTACTACAGTTATATTAATTAATCTAAGTAATGTTTATCGCATTCTGATGTGCAGCTGCTGTTATTTCTTAGATATTTGTTCTCAATTCTGAAATGGAACTTTTAAAAATTCTTTACAGAATACAAAATTAACACTATAGAAAAATTTGCTCCCAATTTTTTTTTTATAAACTGAACAACTTATAATTTACTTATATTTAAACTAGATAATTTAGACTTAAGATTTAAGGCCACGTTAACTTTCTAAATTTCATACTTATAACTTAAATTTATGAAGTAAATTATTTAGAAGTAAAACCTCATTTTCTGACACTTATAAAAGTCATGTTTATTTTACTAAGCAAATTGTTTTCTAACCATCAACATTTCACTATCCAACATTTGGATATTTTTCTGACAATGGCTCTAACAGGTTTTGCTGCCTAGAATAACTTAATACATCATTATTTTGTACATACATTAGGGCAAAGTTTCTTTTGCCAAAAATAAAGAAATACAGAGGTATATGAACATTAATGCCCATGCTTAACAAAATAAATAAATAAAATTAGCTTTAATGGAAGCTTTCCATAATATGTCAAACATATGAAGGTAATCCACTTAAAGTATTGCAACGTACTGTAAATACTTATATTCTACAAAGCAAAAGAACAGCATCTAGCCATCCTTGCAAGCTAAGCAGGATTGAGGCTGGTTAGGACTTGGTTGGGAAACCACCATAGAATTCCTTTCTAGCTGTAAACTACACTGGGAGGTAAAAAAATATATCTTCTGGAGGAATGTAGCAGGAAATGATTTCTGTTATGCAGAAAACTGTATGGATATGATCATGTAGTCACCAATCAAGCACTACTAGGGAGATTTTACTTAGAATACTTTCAAACAGAAAATTTGTCAAAAGAGGAAACACAATTCCAATTGAAGTACTGAGGCGGGCTAGTTTTCTCTAATAACATTACTATGGAGGAAGTATCTTCTCTATGTGAATATATAGCATTCGTCTATTTAAGAGAGGTACACGGCAAGGACTGTATTTACTTGAAAGGAAGACAACCCTGCATTTCCAAGTTTTCCTTTTTATTCTATTCTCAGTACATTCAAGAAGCCCTCCTATTTTAAAGACAAATTGAGGAAAAAATATAATCTTTCTAGCAGACAAAGTTGGTATATCATTCTCAGGCTTATCATGTACTGTATTCAAATATAAAAGTAAAAAAGTGGGTTTGAATGTATGTGTGTGTGTGTGTGTGTGTGTGTGTGTGTGTGTGTGTGTATAATGTATAATTTCCATGATTGAGGAACAGTAGATATGCCATCTTTCCCTAGCAATGCCTTACTGAAAACTTATGTCCAGTTTTACATTTTAATGAAATACTTTTTGAGCATTACATGACAATACAGCTTAGATGTGGTACAAAGAGAAATCAGTATCAGGGAATGGTACAGTTATAGCAAACAGAATGAAATAATTTATTAAAGCAAGGGGTATCATATTGACCACACTTTTCAGGAATTAGGTTCACTGAAGCAGAAGGAGTTGTAACTCAGCTTTTGCCAAGCTAGTCAAGTGAATAAAAAACTTTTCTATAGTACCTATTGGAAAGTTCCGGTCTCTTCTGTACTTGTAATCCTTACCAATATTTGGTTTGTTGCATCCCACATAAATCACGATTGCATAATAAAGTTTATTAAATCTAAAGCTGAGACAAGAGTGAATTTCTGTGTCATAGACTGCTTTTTTTTTAAAAAAAAAAAGCCAAGTCTTTACTTAACGCAGCATTGTTAATGGATGCATTTTAATGAAAACTGCAAAGCAGCTTGCATGATATATCCAGCAAAATTGCTTACAGGTTTTCTCAAAGAAAAAAGGCAAATATTAATTTGGTATGGCAATGAGAACATTATGTAAAGAAAATGGACCTTTTCTTATTTGTTTTGGTGCTTTCAAATCAGTGTTAATTTCTGACAAATGTGTGTACAAGTTTTCTTGGCAAAGTTTCAGAAGTGGTTTCCCATTGCTTCCTTCCTAGGACTGAAAGATAATAATAATAATAATAATAATAATAATAATAATAATAATAATAATAATAATAATAATTATTATTAGGGGGAGTTGGCAGTGAAGGAATCTAGCAGAGATATACAACTGTTCTCATTTGAAAACCAGGCACCTCTACCTCAGGAAGAACAAAACCCTCTAACTAAAGAAATAAAAGAATTGAAACAAAGAATAACTGAGCATCTAGAACAGCACAAAAACAACAGAATAAGGCTACCTGCATTGAAGCTTGTTCCAAAGAAACAGCTAGCACAATCATTAAAAGATGCAAATATTGCAATATCAAGTATAAGCACCAATTCATTGCAAGAAACAAACCAACTAATGTACAGCACCGCTGCAGTTATAACAGAATACCTGGGATGCACAATCAACAAAAAAGAAAAACAAACAAACAGTGCACCAGAAAAATGGAAGGTTAGACTAGAAAATAAGATCAGCAAGTTAAGATCACATGCAAGCAAGCTAGAACAGATGTAAGAAAAGAAGCTGAAGAACAAGAAGACCAAAGAATACCTAATCAAGAAATACCACTTAGAAACAAGGAAGATCAAGGAAGCACTGGAAATAATAAAGCAACAAATAACAGCTATAGCCAGGAAAATCAGTAGATATGAAGCTCGAATTGCAAACTATAGGCAGAACCTCCAATTTCAATCCAATCAGAAACGTTTCTACCAATCCATCAATGGAGAAACTGCAAGGAATCAGTCAGTACCTGACAAGGAAGAAACAGTGCAGTTCTGGAAGCAGATATGGGATAACCCAAAGAAATACAACAAGGATGCGGCTTGGTTAAAAGAGGTGGATGCAAATAAAACAGAAGTTGAAATGAAAGAACTAGTAATAACAACAAAAATGGTAGAAAAAAGAGCAAAGAAAATCAAAAATTGGTCAGCACCAGGTGAAGATGAACTGCATGGGTTTTGGTTGAAACATCTAACTGTTATACACCCACTCATTGCCAAACAGTTCAACAATATACTACAAGGAGGAGAAATTGAAAAGTGGCTAACAACTGGGAAAACCTACCTAATAATGAAAAATCCAGCAAAAGGGGCAACACCAGGTAACTACAGGCCAATTACCTGCTTACCAACAACTTTCAAATTACTAACTGGTGTGGTAGCTGATGCAGTACAACAGCATCTAGTTGAAAACAATCTCTTTCCACCTGAGCAGAAAGGAAACCGCCCCAATAGCAGAGGAACAAAAGATCAACTCCTAATAGACAAAATGATCTTGGAAAACTGCAAGAGAAGGAAGACCAACCTGAATGTGGCATGGATTGACTACAAAAAGGCATTTGACTCTCTGCCACATGATTGGATAATAAAGTGCCTAGAAATAACAGGAGTCAGTAGAAACATCAGAAAATTTGTGCAAAGATCGATGGCACAATGGAAGACACAGTTGCAGATCAATGGTGAGAGGCTGGGAGAGGTTAATATCAAGAGAGGAATATTTCAAGGAGATTCATTATCACCATTACTATTTGTTATTGCACTGTTTCCTCTGTCAACAATACTGAATAACTCAGGACATGGCTATCAAACATCAAAAACATCTGCCAGACTATCCCACCTCCTTTATATGGATGATCTGAAGCTGTATGGAAAAACATCATCTGAAATAGAATCGCTGCTCAACACTGTCCGTATATATAGCCAAGATATTGTAATGGAGTTTGGCTTGGACAAATGTGCCACACTTACTATCAAACAAGGAAAAATAATGAAAACTGAAGGAATCAAGATGCCCCACGAAAATAACATTAAGAGTCTGGATGAGGAAGAGTACTACAAATACTTGGGTATCCTTCAAGCTGACAACATCAAGCACACTGAAGTCAAGAAAAAGATTAGAGGTGAATACATCAAGAGAGTGAAGAAGATCTTAAAATCCAAACTCAATGGAGGAAATACCATAAAGGCAATCAACACCTGGGCAATCCCAGTCATTAGGTACACAGCTGGAATAGTGGACTGGACTCAAGCAGAACTAAAAGCAATGGATAGGCAGACCAGAAAAATAATGACAATGAATCATGCCCTTCATCCACGCAGTGACATTGATAGACTTTATCTACCAAGGCAAATAGGTGGGCGTGGAATGCTACAAGTACATCAGATGGTTGAAGAAGAAAAAATGGCTTTGGAAGAAT